AATAATAATAATAATAATAATAATAATAATAATAAAATAAAATAAAAAAAAAAAAAATAATAATAATAAATAATAATAATAATAATAATAATAATAATAATAATAAATAATAATAATAATAATAATAATAATATAATAATAATAATAATAATAATAATAATAATAATAATAATAATAATAATAATAATAAATAATAATAATAATAATAATAATAATAATAATAATAATAATAATAATAATAATAATAATAATAATAAATAATAATAATAATAATAATAATAATAATAATAATAATAATAATAATAATAATAATAATAATAATAATAATAAATAATAATAATAATAATAATAATAATAATAATAATAATAAATAATAATAATAATAATAATAATAATAATAATAATAATAAATAATAATAATAATAATAATAATAATAATAATAATAATAATAATAATAATAATAATAATAATAATAAATAATAATAATAATAATAATAATAATAATAATAATAATAATATAATAATAATAATAATAATAATAATAATAATAATAATAATAATAATAATAATAATAATAATAATAATAATAATAATAATAATAATAATAATAATAATAATAATAATAATAATAATAATAATAATAATAATAATAATAATAATAATAAATAATAATAATAATAATAATAATAATAATAATAATAATAATAATAATAATAATAATAATAATAATAATAATAATAATAATAATAATAATAATAATAATAATAATAATAATAATAATAATAATAATAATAATAATAATAATAATAATAATAATAATAATAATAAAATAATAATAATAATAATAATAATAATAATAATAATAATAATAATAATAATAATAATAATAATAATAATAATAATAATAATAATAATAATAATAATAATAATAATAATAATAATAATAATAATAATAATAATAATAATAATAATAATAATAATAATAATAATAATAATAATAATAATAATAATAATAATAATAATAATAATAATAATAATAATAATAATAATAATAATAATAATGAGAGTTTGAATTTTCTCCTTCAATTCACACAAAGAGTGTTTTAGTTTGCTTCTCATTTATTTATTTATGAGCATTTAGACTTAGTTTGAAAATTTAGAAATGATTAAATTAAAGATTAGTTATAAATAGTAACACTGTTGAATTGATCCCTTGCCTCGTGAATGTCGTCATTTAAAAAAAATCTCAATTATAGCTTTTTAAATATATTTTTATACATTAATTTTATGTGTACCAAAAGAAGAAGAGAAAAATAAATTTAAGTTGAATAAAAGATATAAGGATACAAAATAAAGACGTGTTAGGTGCATGTATCAGTATGAACCCTAGTCCAAGATATAACTAACTATTGTCGACAAATCAACAATATTTCCATATCAAAAAATAAAGAGTTAATACCCAAAATCGTCCTCGACTATAGTGATTTTTCTCAATTTCGTCCTAAACGATTTTGGTGACCTAATATCGTCCCAGACTTTTGTGTTTTGCTCAATTTAGTCCCAGACTTTTGTGTTTTTGCTCAATTTAGTCCCTCATTTGTTATTCTGTCCATTTGGTGTTAAATAAATAGACAATTCCGTAATTTTAATGTTGACATCTCTTTACTCATAGACATGTGAACTGTAAATTTTTTTTTTTTTTTTACGAATTACTCCCAGAATTACTCCTAAAACTGCGAATATAAAATTTGATTTGCAGGTCCGGGAGTAATTCTGGGTGTAATTCGTACAAGAAAGATGAATTTCGCACTTCACAAGTTGAAAGTAAAGAGAGATCAATATTGACATTACTGAATTGTCCCTTTATTTAACACCAATTTGACGGAATAACAAATGGAGGACTAAATTGAGCGAAACACAAAAGTCTGGGACGATATTAGGTCACCAAAGTCGTTTAGGACGAAATTGAGAAAAACCACTATAGTCGAGGACGATTTTGGGCATTAAACATATAGGTCCTCTTTGGTAAAATAGTTAGCTTATCAGACAATTTTGATTTATTTGACCACTATTAATTGTTTGACTTAGTTAAAAAAATCAATATAAGTGTTTGGTTAATTAGCTTTTTGTAACTCCAAAATGCTAAAATTCAAAAAGCTGCTCAAAATAACTTTTTCAATTAACGTTTTGAGAAAATAAATTATATCAAACAACTATCGACTAACAACTAATTTACCAATCACCTTTCTACAATCAGCTAATGTTATCAACTAATTATATCTTCTAATTAACCAAATCAGCTAACAGCTAAGAGCTATCAGCTAACAACCATTTACAAAACGTGACGATATAAACAATTGTTAAACACATCTTGTCTTGTCCAATCTCATATTTGATAGGGTCATTTTAATCCATTGCAATCCCAAAATGATAATCTCCTCTAGGGCCAAATGATCCCATTGTATGTCCCAATGCATACATTTGAGCCTATTTTTAGCATTATATATATATATATATATATATATATATATATATATTATTAGAATGTCATTTAGCATGAGATTGACGTGCCATAGCCGCCCATCCTTTGAGGTTTAGGGAACAAATATTTTTATTTTCTTCTCTATAGTCATTATCATTGTCATGCAGGGCCGGATTTTAGGTTTTTAGGGCCCTGTTCTGATAAATAACTGAGGCCCTCCAAAATCATAATTTTTAATATGCAAGTTTCGAACCTTTAACCTCCCAGTAAAAATACAATAAATACACATTACTATCATCTCTTCATAGAACCTTTTAAGTTTAATTGAAAACTTTTAATTTTTATATCTAAACTAGCTCAGTAAATATTAAATATTGGACCTCTAAAATTTGGGGCCCTCTAAAACTGGGGGCCCTGTGCGGTAGCCCACCTTGCACAGCCTAAAATCCGGCCCTGTTGTCATGCATGACTCATCACCATGTGGATATATTGATTTTTTTTTTTAATACAAATAGGAAAGTGGGGAACCCAAAAATTCTTTTTTCTCATGAGAAGCTTTCCAGTTTAGGCTTACAAATTGGACCCACCATTAGTGTATTTGTTTTCAATGTTTCAAAAAAGTTTTGTCAAATTAATAAGTTTGACATCTTTTATATGATTTTTTTTGGCTGGGACATTTATTATTTTTTTTTGTTTTTTTTTTTTGTTTTTTTTGTTTTGTTTTGTTTTTTTTTTTTTTTTTTTTTTGTATATAGTGAGTATTTTAATATTTTCTATTTAAAAAATCAGTATTATTACAAGTATCTTTATTGTGATTAGAAATATAGTCTCATAATTATTATATGAGAAATAATAATATACCTGAGCATTGAGTTATAGAAAGTTTTGCACTTTTGGTCCCACGACTATATATGGTGTCGCTAACAACTTTGATCTACAATTTTTAAACTTTGTAGAATTGGTCCACGACTATGACTTTTTTAATAAATTTGATCCTTCCGATGCATTTTTTGGAAAATTTTTACTCTCCATTTTAACATGGATAATATTGTCTTTTCCATCTCACATTTTTTGTTAATATGGGCAAATTCATCATCCTCCCCATTTCCGTTAGACAAAGGTTGTCACTAAAAACATTAATCAATTAATTAATTAATTATTTATGTCATTAGTTTGTGAGTTGGAAAAGACAATATTACCAATGTTAAAATGGAGAGTAAAATTTTCCGGCAAGAATTGAACGGAAAATGCACCAAAAGTACCAAATTTTCTAAGAAAGTCATAGTCGTGGATCAATTCTACAATTTTTAAAAGTCGTTGATTAAAGTTGTTAGTGACACCATAGTCGTGGGACCAAAAGTGCAAAAAACTCTTGAGTTATACCTCATGTGTAGACTTAATCCCTTAGTCATTATCCAATTGTATACCATGGATCATGATTCATATTGCATTATGAATCTTGATACAAAAATTTTATACCTTCAGTTAACACATTATATACCTACAGTTAATAATTTCTATACATGTAAACAAATAACTTGATAATTGTTGGCACATAATATGATAGTTACATGTGCAAAAACTATCAATTGTAGATACAGAATGTATCAACTATAGATATATAATATGAAGGTTACATAATAGGATAATTACAGGTATAGAAACTATGAACTGCATGTACAGAATGTGTCAACTATAGATACATAATCTGGAGATTATTTTTGGATCAGAGTCTACAATAATGCAAGGTAGAACCTAGTCCATGGTACGGTATAATTTGCCGTCATTATCATGTTTATTTTTAGTTTTTTCAGTTATTATTGAAATCATAGTTTTGATATTTTTGTTAATATTTTGTTAGATTTGAACCAAAAAAAAAAAAATCAATTAAAAAACAACTTAAATTGTAAGGGTAAATATTAAATTTTGATAGTCTTTTCTTCTCATTATATGAGAGAAACATTCTAAATATTTTGTGAGTTTATTTGACAAACCTCAAATCATGTATAGGACACTAGTCGCACTAAGTTAGCTTGAAATTTTGTCAATTAAACTTACTTGCGGAATACTAAAAACGTCTATTTTGTATAAGGAGGAGATCGAAAAAGTAATCAAATTTTCATGTTCACTTAAACCATTTAAACTTTTTAATTTTATTGATTTTTCTTTCAAATCTATCAAAATTTTATGAAAATGACCAAAATCGCAACATCAGTAATAATTGAAAGACAACAAATATATGCACGCTAATAATTAAAAAAAGGGTGAATCAACGATTTGGTCCCTCACTTATTCGCGACTTGTCAATGTTGTCCCTAAATCACGTATTCATCGATTTAGTCCCCGAAAATAATTGTTTTTCGTCAAATCAGTCCCTATGGCCATATTCCGTCAAGTCTCAGGCGAAAGCTCCGATTTGCCCTGGGCATTTTGGTTTTTTCACGCCTTCTTCTTCATTAACTCCGACCAAGCTTCGCCGGAGGGAGCTCCATCTCTTCTCTGCTCGTCGAAATTAGCTCACCGCCGTATATCCTCCACGCGAGCGTTCAACTCCGACCTGAACCCGGTGATCCACCACCGGTACTCACATTCTTCCCAAGAAATAAGTTGCAACCATGAGAAAAGTTCACAGAAGGTGGGAAAACAGGTATATGACCAGTTGTTGCAGGCATTATTCCCTTCCCAAGATTGGGCAAGCGTGATTGGATACCCAAGACCCCCAGCAGCAACAAGAAGTGTAGTCACATGTTGATCACAAGGTCCAGGTTTATCATTACAGAAACTATTACCAAGATTCTTCTTGACGTTATTTCCAAACTCAAGCATGGGACCCTGCAAATTGTTATTCTGGAGAGTAATGTTCACCAATTTCGGAAGACCCGTTATGGAAACTGGTACAACTCCGGTCAATTGGTTGTCTCTGAGCTGCAAATCGAAGAGATTTACGCATTTGGAAAGGTCATGGATCGGACCCGTGAAGGCATTGGCATGAAGCCAGACTTTGGAGAGTTGGGTCATTGAGGAAAGCACATCAATAGTCCCGGAGAGCCCAAGTTGTTGGTTATTCAGCCACAAATTCTGTATCTCCGAGCTCCCAAACGACCTAGGCAGAGACCTGGTGAGGTTATTGTAGGATAATCTCAGGTTTTGGAGATTAGGGAAAGAATCGAAGAAATTAGGAATGACGACGGTGATACTGGCGTTGCTCGCGAAGAAAGATCCCAAGTTTGTGCTTTCGGCCAAATAACTAGAAATTTGCCATGGGCTGAGCTCGCCATTGTCGGAAATGCTGAAAATCTGCAAATTGGGAAGACCCAAGAGGAAATCTGGGGGGATTGAGCTGAACTCATTGCTGTCTAAGTAGAGCTCTTCGAGGCTGGACATATTAGCGAAAGACGGCAAGGGCCTGGAGAGGGAATTTTTCTGGACGGAAAGTGATCGGAAAGATGCCAGCTGCGTGAGCTCAGAAGGGAACTTGCCGGAGATGGACTGGGAATCGAGGTTGATGGAGACTACATTGCCGGTGGGTTTGTCGCAGTTGACATTAATCCAAGTACACGGATCTTTGGAAGCGGACCAGCCATGATGAAGAAGAAGGCGTGAAAAGACCAAAATGCCCAGGACAAATCGGAGCTTTCGCCTGAGACTTGACGGAATACAGCCATAGGGACTGATTTGACGAAAAACAATTATTTTCGGGGACTAAATCGATGAATACGTGATTCAGGGACAACATTGACAAGTCGCGAATAAGTGAGGGACCAAATCGTTGATTCACCCTTAAAAAAATTAAGTCTATACATGAGATATAACTCATTGACTAAATATGCCATTTTCTCCAACTATATTTGTCAAATACTTACGGCCTGTTTGGTTCGCAAAAAATATTTGAGGGAAAATGGAATTGAAATTTCATGGAAAAAAATTACTAGGAAGATTAATTATATTGTTTGGTTGATGGAAAATAAATTACTGGGAATATTGCTTGCATTATTTAGTTGAGTTTAAAATTGTAAGAAATAGTGAGTATAAAGACAATTATACCCCTACATAATAATAACAAAAATAATAATAATGGTAATTAAGAAAAGTTAGTGAAGGCATAATTCTCCTACTTGTTTTCTATGAAAAACAAAATACCTAGGAGGGGCCATAGAAAATGTTTTCCTCATTCTTGAGGAAAATGTTTTTCATGAACCAAACAAAAGAAAAATTCAATTTTCCTCAAATTCAATGAAAATATTTTCCAACCAAACATGCCTTGTTCAAATTTTTATAATTGTGATTATGATTAAATTTAGAATCTTATAGTTCCTTAATTAGCTTAAAAAGTTGGTTTTTTTTTTTTTTTTCATACCCAAAGTCAAAGATCAGACCCTTGACCTTTGGCTAATGATGGATGAGTCACTTTCCATTCAACCGCACCCTCCAAGTTTTAATAATGAACTTGTGGTATACCAGAAATGAACGTGTACTACACTAAAAAGTTAAAATGAACTTGCATTATATTGAAAATGAACCTTTATCAAGGTAAAATTAGAGTTCAATTGGATTTTGTTTGTTGCGAGTTTAAGAGTTTTTTTTTTTTTTTTAATGGTTAAAATGTTTAATTGCACTATTTGATCCATTTAGGAGGCTTATTTGATCCATTTTTCTAGTTATAATTGCAATTATAAATTTAAAATGACAAAAAAAAAAATTTAAATATAGATTAGTGAGTCCACGGAAAAGCTATGAAAAAACTTAAACCATTGAAAAAATAAAATTTTTAAGATGGAGTGAGATAATGGATGTTGAGATGGAGTGGTATGTCTTACAAAAATTTTGAAAAAAATCCAACCTTCACTAAATCAATTTAGGAAGATCACGTGCCACAACATCGATCAAAAGAATGTCAATAAATATTAAATTCATAATTAAATTATAAGTACAAGAATCATATTCCACTCACATGATTATCTCTTTCGAATTTTATTTGTTATTTTTTATTTTTATTTTTTTATTCTTGTATTTTGTATAACAGTAAACATTACACCGTCAATTGTATTATTCCCCCCACAAATTAATTGATTCAGGTAATAATCTAGTCCTCCGTGTAAGATAAGATGAGACCAATGAATACAAAAGGAAGCAATGATGAAAATAAAACGTAAAATTATTTTTTCTTCTTCTAAAATTTTCATCTTGATGTGGCTTTCATTTACGGAAAAGTTATGAATTGACTAACTCCATAACTAATTTTTTTAAAAAAAAAAACTGTTCTAACAAAATTTAAAGAAAAACTAATTGTCAATTAGATAATCTTGTATTATGACTCATATCTCAAAAGAGATTGAAATGAAAAACTAGGAAATGTATCTAAAATTACTCAAATAAAAAAGAACAGCCAAGTCCATATAATAATAAAAAACGGAGCTAATACTCAATTTAGTCATTGACTATAGTGATTGTGTCTTTTATTGATTTAGTCCTACACGACGGTTACTGACTCTATTATTACATTGTAATATCGCACAACGCATCCGCTGAGGCTCGATTTCATGACCTCCCACATAGGAGGGGTCATTACATGCCATCTGAGCACAAGGTGTTTGGCTACCTAAATAGTTAGTCTTAAACTATATTGGTTTTACCCAATTTAGTTATTGGCTATAGTGATTTTTTTTTTCCCGATTTAGTCCTTAATTCTAATAGTCAAGGACTTAATGGGATAAAACCATCAAAGTCAAGGACTTAATTAACCACAAAAAATCGTTTAGGACTAAATCGATAAAAACCACTATAGTCCAATACTAAATTGGGTGTTAACTTTAAAAAAAAAAGTCTTATCAGTGAGTTGATTGCGCAACTTGTGGTTTATCTTTGCGGGTTCTGGAGTTGGAGAATTGTGAGTTTAGGATTAATCCAATGAAATTGGGATTACCTAAGTATTTTTTTAAAAAACGAAGAAGTGTTTAATATAGTTAAACTTATTACTTTTGTGCAATTGAGTTACTGAACTAAAAAAATATGCAATCAAACCATTAAGCAAGCAAAATATGTGCAATTGAGATATTTTTTAAATTTATTTTAATGCAATTTGAGTTGAAAACATTTCAATATTTCATTACAACTAGTATGACATAGGAAATGACGATTTTTAGTACATATTATGTAAGCAATATAGTCAAAATTATGGGAAAAAAATTAAAAAATGTCTCAATTACATATATTTTATTTGTTTGATGATCTAATTGTACACTTTTTAAGTCCAATAATCAAATTACATAGAAGTGATAAGTTTACTAACTTATATGACACTTTTTTCCAAAAAAAAAAATAATAATAAAAAAAAAATAAAAAAAAATGCACCGGTGTCGGGTTGGATACAAACCATATAAACACGGACCGGGTCGGAGGCAAATCCAAGTTTTTGAGGTTTTATGTCTAAAACCCTAGCACAATCCTATTCTCCAACTCCTCTAACAATCCCTGGGCAGACGCCCTCACCACTCACAGAGTTGATGCCTCGAAGTGGACGAGGCGAGAACTTTGAGGAAATCTCTTCTCTCAATCTTCTTCTTCCACCTGGGATTTTAAAGTATTGATTTTGATTCCGTACGATAAAGTTTTCTTTTTCTGGCGATTTAGCTCATTTTTATCCGATTGCCGTTGGGAAAGATGGGGGTGAGGGCGGAGAAGATAAAGCCTGGAAGAAATTCTGCTTCTTCTGTGGCTGAGGTAAAGACTTCGGTTCCAAAGCTGTTAACTTTTGCTTTCTGCTTATGATATTGTTTGTGTGTATTTTGAATTTGGTTTGATTCTTTGTGCTTCTGAACTCAAGTTAACTCCATTGTCAAACCTTAATTAGCTACCTGCAAATTGCTACTAAAATTCAATGGCGCAGGTGCGAATTCAGGTCGATTAAATCAAGAATTATATTCTTACTTGACATACTTATTAAACTTGTTTAGTTAATAAAATGAGATTGAGGAAGTAATTTGTAGTTCATATAGTAAATAGATTGTTGGCACACTAGGTATTATGCATGTTGGCTTTGGGTGTCCACATTATCAATTAGTTGGATATGTGAGTAGATTCTAAGACCTTAAATTACAATTTGCAGGATGGTTCTGAAGTGATGGATGAGAACGTAAAGAAGTACCTCAGAGGAGAACCAGCAAATTTGGAGGTATTTCAGTGGTTCTGAGACTTTATTCGTTCTTGAATCATCCATGTTTCCATGATAATCATATGTTGACGTACTGTGTTGGTTGATTTGCAGGTCTTGCAAGATAAGAAGTTGAAGGGCCAGCTTGCTGTCAGAGAAGAATTGTATGGAAGATCTGCAAATGCTGCTGCAAAGGCCGAAAAGGTTTCTATAATAACGATTACTGTTTATCACTTGAAAAAATGCCATTTTACTAATTTAAACATAATGTATTTCCCCATGTTCACTTTCCCCTTTTGAAAACAAAGTTAAGTGAATTAAGTTTAGCTATTGCAGTCTCTACATCTGCAATCTCCCTATGGTAAAGTAAGATACTGGAGGAGAAATGATTCTCAATATAAATTATAAAATTACCACTTTAACACCTAAAGGACTTTAGTCTGCCAAATAAAACTATTGTCGTTCTTCCACGTTACTTCTTTTATAAACAGACACAAATGCCCTATCCATATACTCCCTCCGTCCTATTTTATGTGTCTGGTTTGTTTAACGAGGCTTGACTGACGTTATTTTTAATCCAATTTTTCATAATATTAAGTTTAGTATTAGTATACAAAATTTATATATTTAGAAACTACACTAAAAGTACTATTAAACACAACAAATCAAATTTAAAAATAAGTAAAGAATACTAAAGAAAATAAACAAAGAAGAAAGAGTTGGTTTTACCAATGAATAGTAAGTAGGACAGATAAAATGGGACAGAGGGAGTATTACTCAAGTCTATTTGCTATGTAAAGTACTCCTAATAATTGTTATAGAACATGCGTGGTAATGATTGAATGTGTTATATCAGTGGCTTATGCCAAGTGAAGCGGGTTACCTGGAACCTGAGGGGATAGAGAAGACATGGAGGATCAAGCAGGAGGCAATTGCTCGTGAAGTAGACATTTTGAGCTCAAGAAATCAATATGATATTGTCTTACCAGGTTAGGGTCCTCTTTTCTTATTACTATTCCACTACTCTTTCAAACTTAAATGTGAAATTTGTGACCTTATGCTACTGGTTGCTTGCTTGTTATGTAAACTGAGGTATTTGCTTTTGTGAAATTGTAGAATGAACTTAAATATAACAGTGATAATTGTAGGTTGGCATAGCTTTTACCATTACTTTCTCATGTCAGCTTTTAAGTTGTATATGCAGATCTTGGACCTTATACTCTGGATTTCACGTCTAGTGGTCGTTACATGGCTTTAGCTGGCCGGAAGGGACACCTTGCTATTGTAGACATGAAAACTCTGAATCTTATTAAAGAACTACAGGTATTTGAGTTGTTGAAGATTGAGGGTATATATACCTATGATATAACTCAATATTGTTTGGCTTCATAGTTCTGAGTAGTGACTTGTTGGCTTTTTAATTTGTGTTCACAAATGCGTAACAATTTATTTTTCCAGGTTAGAGAAACAGTACGTGATGTAGTATTCTTGCACAATGAACTGTTTTTTGCTGCTGCTCAAAAGAAGTAAGATACGTTTCTTCCAAAAACAGCCTGCATTTTTAGGCCATTTAATCACAAAATTTTTACAGGTATTCATACATATACAATCGGGATGGTACTGAGCTCCATTGCCTTAAGGTTAGTAAATAACCTGATAATCCTTGCGCTGATAGTAACAGATGCTCCATATCTTTAACTGATTGCTAATAAGACATCTTTCGAACTAAAGGCTTCATCTTTCAGGAACACGGTGCTGTGCTAAAACTTCAATTTCTGAAAAACCATTTCCTTTTGGCATCTATAAACAAATTTGGTCAGCTCCATTATCAGGATGTCACTACAGGGGAGATGGTTGGTAACTACCGAACTGGCCTAGGTCGAAGTGATGTTATGCAGGTGAATCCCTTCAATAGTGTGATTGCTGTGGGCCATTCCGGTGGCACTGTGAGCATGTGGAAGCCCACGAGTGCTGCTCCCCTCGTGAAAATGCTCTGCCATAATGGCCCTATCACGGCTCTAGCGTTCCATTCCAATGGCCATCTCATGGCTACCGCGGGAATGGAAAGGAAGATAAAGCTCTGGGACTTGAGGAAGTACGAGGTTCTCCAAACGTTACCGGGCCACGCCAAGACCTTGGATTTCAGTCAACAAGGTTTGCTCGCAAGTGCAACGGGATCTTCTGTCCAGGTTTTAGGAGACCTTTCGGGATCTCAGAACTATAGCCGCTATATGGGGCACTCTATGGCTAAAGGTTACCAAATACAAAAGGTGTCGTTTCGACCATATGAAGATGTTCTCGCCATCGGGCACTCCATGGGTTGGTCTTCCATCTTGATTCCCGGATCCGGAGAGCCCAACTTCGACTCCTGGGTGGCGAATCCTTTCGAAACTTCTAAACAGAGGAGGGAGAAGGAAGTTAAGTCTCTCATCGACAAGCTTCCTCCAGAGACAATCATGTTGGACCCTTCAAAGATCGGGACTGTGAGGTCTACTAGGAAGAAGGAAAAGCCGACGAAAGAGGAGAGGGAGTCGGGGATGGAAGCTGCTATTAAAGAAGCCAAGAGCGTTCCCGTGAAAAACAAAACAAAGGGTCGAAGCAAACCCAGTAAAAAGGCGAGGAAGAAACAGGAAGCCGTTGAGAACGCCAAGAGACCGTTCTTCGAACAACAGATGAGCGGGGCCGAATCGTCCAAGAAGAGAACGAGAGCTAGCAATGACGATCACCTACCGAAATCCCTGCAGCGATTCGTCAAAAAGAGATCAACAGCATGATGACAGTCCAAGTTCTGGTATTTGTTTAAGTCTCTTTTGGCCTCTCCTGTCCCAACAGGGGGTTTTGTGACAGCCATGAAGAGAGATGAAGATGTATTCTGTGAAATATAATGTTAAGCTGCCTTCCCCTTTTAGGCTAAACCTGTATGTGTTACCAACTTTTAATCCTGTCCCCTTGACTCCATTATAGAATTTTGCTTAGAGAAATGAAGAGGCAAATGTTTTCTTTCATTTGAGTTAATACTCAATTTAGTCCTCGACCAGTGATTTTTTCAATTTAGTCATAAACGCTTTTTTTGTGCTTAATTGAATCTTCAATTTCGATGGTTTTACCTAATTAAGTCTTCTGTAATTGTAGCTTGGCAATTTCCCCTACCTAAATTAGTCCTTGATTAATACACAGTTTAGTCCTCAACTATAATTATTTTTACTGATTTAGTCCTTGATTTTAACAGGGACTCAATTAGGTAAAATGATCAAAATCGAGGATCCAATTAGCACAAAAAGATGTTTAAGACTAAATTGAGAAAAATAATTCAACTTCGATTGTTTTACCTATTTAAGTCTTCTGTAATTGTAACTTGGCAATTTTCCCCACCCAAATTAGTCCTTGATTAATACACAATTTAGTCATCAATTATAATTATCTTTTCCGATTTAATCCTTGATCAATCATTCTAACAGCCAGTGACTTAATTAGGTAAAATGATCAAAATCAAGGGCCCACTAAACACAAAAAGATGTTTAAAACTAAATCGAGAAAAATCATTATAGTCGAGAAAATTAAATTAGGTATTAGCTTCTTTCATTTCATACTTAAAAGAGCAATTGCCACTACAGTTGTGTAACTCTTAAACAAGTCATAGTTGCCAATTTGCACATCATCAAGGAATTTGCAGGCTCATATGACCAATTCTTATTTGTATTCCATTCTTGTGACTATCAACTTATTACAAAGGAATATAACATCGGTTCGTTGAAAACGAGGAGTGCGATCATGCTCGATTTGTGCGTCTTCCAACTTCGAGGGCGAGCTCTGTATCGATCTTCAGGGAAATGTCGAGCGCTTTTACAGAATGCGTTAGTGCACCGCTGCAAATGTTTAACAAGTATCGTGTTAGAGCATAATTTATGGATTTTAAATGTACTGGACAGTCATTTAAAATGGATATTCTTACCTGGATATGTAGGTCACCCCAGTTTGCCCAATCTTGTGCACTGTCTCAAGGGTAACATTTCCAGAAGCCTGCCAGCATAGAAGGAAATGAGAATGCAAAAGAACACCATTTGAAGTTGCACTAAATCTAAAATGAATGCCCTAGAAAGACTAGGTAGCAGTGGGTAGGGTTAGGATATTGAAAAAATTGATGCATTTGAGCCAGCACGGGCAACTCAGTTGGTTTCTTAGTGGTAGATTGTCGGCAAGGACGAGGATCGAGCCCGGGCAGCCGTAGTGTGGGGGCGTTACGTCCAATGTGGTGGACTCCTTGTGGGCACCAGACACTTGTCCTCCCACTTAATGACCCGCTGGGTCACTGTGATTTATCCTTCCACTATCCTATTGGCCGGGGTGTGGGGGCTGTGGGGGCGAGGGAATTTCGCCTTTGTGGGCAAAAAATTGATCCATTTGAGCTAAAAAATATTACTACTGATAAATGCATCGTTTGTCAGAACATTGGATCAGACGTTTGGTTGGAAAAATAGCGGTCAAATAACTGCAATTAAAAATTGTATATTGAAGCAGGAGATACCTCGGTCTCGAATCTCCCACCGATCAAATCTACAGCTTCCTTGAGCATGGACACATCAATATCCCTATTAGGCAGTGGAACGATCATATTGTCCAGCATTATTCTAGTCAATGAAGTCTTTGTTTTAGACGCATATCGTAACACCTCGTGCACTTCCTCAAGTGTCCGGGTTTCAATCTGTAAAACGAAAACAAATCGTCAAAATTTATGTCCAGATTTACTGTTGTGGTTAATGGAAGAACAAAGGTAGTCATATAGAAGCTAAAGGAACAATAATTTCTTCGTTCTCAAACATACATCAAGAAACCGAAAAAAAAAAAAGGGTACCTCAACCCCCATTTGAAGGCTATTTTGCTCGAGATACTGGTCGACAGATTTTAAGGCTTCACTGACACCTCCCGCTGTTGAGATGTGATTGTCTTTTATCATCACCATATCAAATAAACCCATTCTGTGGTTTTGGCCACCACCGATTAATACCTATCACGAAAGCCAGGTGGAAAGAAATCAACCAAATTCAATTCACGAAAGCAACAATAGACAAACACGGAGTAAAGGTGAAAGAAGAGATCTCTACCGCCCACTTATCGATTAAACGCAAGCCAGGAGCAGTTTTTCTCGTCTCCAAGATATATGCCGGATTTGCAGCATCTGCCATCGCCTACAACAAATATAAATAACTACATCTCTCCTACCCGCATAATAAGATCAAACCCGACTCCATATTCATTGTAGTTATATTCAACTTTATTTAGTTATTATAATATGACAAATACGTAATGCAGAGAACCAGCTTGGTTAGCGTGAGTGGCCGTGCACTCCTGTCCCTTAAGAGAGGTCGGGAGTTCGAACCCCCTCTCGTATGGAAAAACCAATCTGGCCAGCACTTTGCCCCTTAATTGGGCTGGCCCGGTGCCAACGGGGATTAGTCCGAATATGGTACGGGCTTAAAGGTGCCTCCTACAGTTAGGGCCTGCTCAGGACACCTCGTGGTCTGACAAAAAAAAATACGTAATGCAGAATATTTCATAATTCTCGTTAGTTTTATTGGACATACACTAAAATAGGAATGAAAATGCAGCTTAATAATGGTAAAATTTTGGACTCTAAGAGTACAGGAAAGTCCAGGGAATTTATAGAGTTTAACCGTTAAGTGGTATAATTTCTGAGAAAATGTTAACCCTCGTTAAGTGATATTAATTCATTCTCGAATCAATGAACAGTGACTTACATCAACTTAAACACACCTTAGTCAGTGTAGCAATTCCGCTCATTCTCTGCATAAAATTAAGCACAACCCTTTCAGCAACGATAATACTGTGAGCGTTTCCTGCATATGTTTGAGGAGAATCAAACGCCAAATATGATCAAACTTTTGAATAAAATCAAATTATTTTCCAATGTTTTAGTTTACCGTGCACTTTGCCAAATTGCAGGCCTTTGTGAACTTTATCACCGTCCTTTCGAGACCACTCCACCTAACGTTGAAACGAACTCTTAGAAACAATATCTCCATCGAATATAACGTATTCTAAACCTTAAGACCATAATGTATAATACCTCCAACGTGGGATCAACTTCATCGAATACCATTTCCGCAAGTGCAATCCCGGCTATGATCCCATCCTCCTTTGCTATAAAATGAGCTTCCACTTCCATATCAACTGGAATTGTTGCCTTGCAAGTCACGTCTCCTGCATTTCATCATTATAGTTGCATCTTAATACACATTTACAATCACGTAAAGAGACCAAATCGGTCATATTCTGCATCTTTTTACAAAAAGATTGAAGCAACAAATTGGTCATATTCAAACTTTTTTAGTTTTTCACAAATTTATAATTTTATTTTGCTATCAACTAACACTACCTGAACCACATAATCTTAGCATATATGCCACCAGTGTCTGTAAATGCAATTAAATTAACATCAAGAGTTGCCTATTCCCATTTCCCATTTCTCAAAACACATTAAAATTAAGCTTATCATAATTATTACACATAGCCTCATATGAGTAACATAGAGGAAAACAAAGTTGAACAAAGAAACACCCACAAATGATCAAAAAATTTGGGAATTTTCTCTCTTGATGATTACACACACAAATACACTCACATAGAGAGGGGGGGGGGGGGGGGGGGGTGTAGATACCTCTATCCCCAGCATCTTCAGAAAGGGCAAGATGAATAACACCCTTCAAATCATAAGTGGGGTGAGCAGGTGGCTTCACTGCCAGAGACTCAACAGCTTTTCCAAGATTATTGATCGTGCCAACTGCTGACATTTTCACAAGCAATCTGCAAGCATTTTTTTTTTCACCAAAAAAATTGAATCTTTACACTTCCCTGATTGCGAATTACGAAATAAAGAGAGAAAATTTGAAAAGCAAAAAAAAAAAAGAAGAAAGAAAGATAGCAAACCTGGGAGCAGTGATGGGATGAGCATGGTGCAAAAATGGACGGAGAGAAAAGGCTCTGAACATCGAGAATCTGATGTCGCAACTCAATCTCTATCTTCAATTCAGTACACACAACAAAAAGCAATAAACCCTTCGCTGGTGGCCTCTGCTTTTCCTAGTTTCCTCTTTGTTTTGCGCAGAAAGAATCCCTATTATTTTTTCTGCTAAATTTTCGATTTAGTTATCTTTAAAATATAAAATAAAATAGGTGGATGTAACACTTCACAAATTACATAAGAAAGGTAACTCACATTAGTCAGACTATGTGCAGTCCACTCAATTAAGAGTATGTTTGGAAAATGAGAAAATGAATTATTTTTCATAAAATATTTTCGTTTTCATTGTTTGTTTGCATTTTAGAAAACTGACTAGTGTGTTTGATTTATTTTTTGAAAAATGAACATAATTATTTTTAATTTCAAATATTTAAAATATGCAATGATGGTGGTGGTGGGTGAACTGCTGGTGGGGGTGGTGCTGGTGGTAGCGGCGACGACGGCGGGTGGTTGGCTGCTTCACTGCTGCAAGTGGAAAATAACTTCTCCAAAAAAAAAAGGGAAGGCATTTTCTGGAAAATTCTCTCTATTTTTCATTGACCACACCCCTATTTTCCATTGACTTTCATCTCCCCTTCTAGCCAAATACGGGAAACTCAAAAAATGATTTTCAGAAATAATTTTTCGAGTTTCCAAACGCACACTAAGAGGAACCTTCAAGATACGAAATTCATGTTGCAAATAAGGTTGAAAAAAACAATAATAATCCTACGTAAAAAAGATTATTATTTTGTGGGAAAATTGGAAATTCTGGGAAGGACGAAAAAGATATGGTGGGTAGGTGATTAGCAAGAGTCGAACAAAACACTAGCGTTGTAGCATAGGTTTCCCAAGATAAAACGTACTATGGTTTAATGTTTGAGCACCCAAACAAATGAACCCAGCGAACTAGAGCAATGAGATGAACACTGGAGAACAAGAAATGAGTAAGAGCAGAGTTTCAAGAGAAAAAACAGAAAGGAGTAGGAGCAGAGTTTCGAGGAATAAAACATTATTATTTCTGTTGTGTTGTAAAATTCTAAATCATCCCGACTCTTGTAATCACTTAGAAAGGCTCTTGTATAAATAGTGGTGCAAATCCATTTCCCAAATCGATGTGGGACAAAGGCTACTTTAAAGCCTTTTCCCTTCATTTTTCCAACTCAAATGAGTCTACTTTGAGAATTAATTTCTCATTCACCCATTATCCGTTTTGAGCGTACAATATATCAATCTCTTCGTCTCACTACGAAGAACTCGAATCCACTTTGACCCGACCCAAATCAGATGTGGACCATACTAATAATTGTATCACAAAATAGCCACTTATTAGACCATTTAAGCTATTTTTTTTAACAATACTGACTCTTTATGCTTCAGAAAAATCTATTGGTGAATATTATGATATAAATTTAATGAATGAATAATATTTTTTAAAAAGTGATTAACTTCAATGTAAAATGTTCTTTAATTTCTCACTTATACTAACCTTCACAGTTCTTCTTATGAATAGCATTGTAAGCCAATGAGATTTCCTGGGTGTTACGCGGCCAGTCGACTACTTGGCCTCCTCAGGCAAATCAGTCAATTTATTTGTTTATTTAAACGGTTTGTTTGGATAAAAATAACTTAGTTTTGAGCGAAACAAGTTAAATTAACAAAACCTAAGTTCTGGAGTAGCAACAAGCAAGAAAGGAAAGGAAGCCAACCCAAACTTGCACAATCGAACCTTAGTGCCTCAACTCATAGATGTCGCAACACTGAAACAATCCCGTTCAATTTTGCCAGATTCACCGGTAGCAAAAAGCACAAAGTTCGAACATTGAGCTCATCATCGCCACTTTCGCAGCTTGGCAGGACCTAGGTAGAGAGACGCCAAAGAGTCAATTTCCCACGATCAGAGTTTGATCATGTGACCTTCCCTCAAGGAGAGAGATAAATGTGCCAACTGAGTACAGGATGTTTGGTTAATATTACATATATTGCTAATGTTGCTAATGTTTGTAGTGTTTATGGACTCCAAGTGACAATTTCAAATGTCCAATTGTCCATTTCTTTAATTTTTTTTTTTCCTAGTAGGCGCCCAATCGCCCATTGAGCGCGGAGCGCCTAGCCCCTTCTACAACACTGCTTATGAAAGTATTTCGGCATTTTGAATTGAGTTTAGTTGATTAGAAAATGAACAAAAATAATTAAATTAATAATCAAATACTAAAATCGACTAGCTCAAATAAAAAAGGTTAATTAGTCGCTTTTAAAGGAATCACAATGAGATAAATTAACATAGATTATCCAATCTAAGATATTTCTATTGAAAGTTAAACTTGAAGCTTTGTAGCCCAAAACAAATAGCTCCAACTTAGCATTTTTTTATTCCATGTACTACAATTTTGGAGTAACGTGAAGCATGTTTTAAATACGCCATACACTTTAAGCTGCCATTAATTTTTCATCTACCCGACCATCTTTGCTAGCTTAGTCAAACTTCAGTCGGAGTAGAAGATCGGAGCAGCTGATCTCGCCGTAGAACTCCCCTCCCGTCGCCACCGCCGATCAATGTTGCTCTCTACTCTGAAACCCGTCGTGGGTTGTCTTCCTTCCAGCTCCGCCCCACATGGTTCCCGTGAAAATGCGCCGCCGGCTACAATGCTGAGGGTGAATCCCAAAATTTCTTCTTCGTCTTCACATGCTCTCCAGGTTTGAATTTCATCCGTGTATCTTTAGTTTTATGTACTTTTCTGTTTTTCTTTTTTGATTTACTTGCTTATTTTTCTTGATCTGGAAATTTCCCTTTCGTTAATGCTGACAATTTTGTAGGGTTATGTAGGAAGCAGGCTCACATTTTAGTCAAATGTTGTCTGTTTTTGAAACCCCATTCTTGGATTTTAGTGTTGATTGTGCAATTGCTATTGTTGGGGGTGAACTTTTGTAGCCATTTTTAAGTTTCTTGGTCCCCAAATTGTGCTATATATGTTTAGTTAGGCCTGCAATTTGCAAAAAGGGTTTCAAATTAGAAAGTAGTTGCACCTAACTTTTCAATTGCCTGATTATTTCTAGAGATTAACTCCATTCATGACATCAAATTAGCTCCATTCAGGGGCAACCTCGACCAAGTTGGTCATACTGGTGACTTAGTAACCAAACGGTTACAAGTTTGAATCCGAACGGGAGGAGCCTATTGGCCTTCTTGGTTTGAGCTGTTTAGTTATTGGCAATGGTTTACCTCTTTGTGGTTCTTTGTCGACTAGGGTCAGAAGGTGGAGTTTATCTAGTGCACATCCTCGAGTAGTAGCTGCGGGTCTCCTTGGTCACCAAAAAAGTAAAATAATAGCTCCATTCTATTGCAGATTCTGTATGCTCTGCAGGAATCACAACTGGAAATTATAGAATTTCCGACCACCTGAAAATAATCTTAAATCAAGTCGAAAGTAAAAAGTGGTTGGAAATAGCAACAAAGGTTTTTCCGGATACCAAAAGTGGTCGGAACAAGGCTTTCGACTTGATTTAAGATCATTTTCAGGTGATCGGAAATTCCATAATTTCCAGTAGTGAATTTTGGGAACTATTTTGGCATTTTACCTTTGTTATCAGTGTCAAGAAAAGGCTTCATACTGCCTATAGACATCTTTCATTTAGGAACAAGCATAAAAATTCAATCTTTTACTTCTTCTCACACTTTTAGTTCTTTAGGTTTCTTTCTTCTGATTATACCTGGGATTGAATGGGGTGGTCAGAGTTTTCGTCTTCCCTTTTGAGTGTTCATTTGAGTCCTTAAACCTGTTTTCGGTGTTTACTGTTGGTTTTTCTTCTTTGAGCTTGCAGGCACAGGAAACTCGGGCTGCTGTTTCAAGAAGAGATGTTATGATGGGCATAGCAGCCGCGGGGCTCGGGATTTCCTTGGCTAAGCCTGCTGAGGCCGTCGAGGTAGCTAATTCCGGGAACCCAATCTCGCAGTTTCTTGATCTGCTCAAGGACTTGGTAGGGACCCCGAAGCCAAAACCAGAAGGCGATGAACCAAAAACCGAGAGTAAGGCCGAGTTACCAAAGCCAAAAACTGTAGGGGATGAAAAGCCGCCGCCTGTTGATAACAAGGCCGAGCCATCGAATCCGAAAACCGGAGGCGATGAGCAGAAGCAGCCCACAGCGAGCGTTGAGGCCAAATCGTCGGAGCCAAAAACCGGAGGTGAAGTGAAAGATGAGACTAAAGCAATTGCCAAAAACTGAGAATGGCTGTTCCTCAGTTTTTTTCTGTCATGAAGGTTAATATTTGCCATCTTTATTGTGTTTTATTATTACATTCAACTCTGAACTCTCAAGAAATGCTGGTGAAGTTTTTATGACATTGAACTCTAAACCCTCTGTTAGTAGAATAGATGAAGTTTCATTCCACCAATTAGCAGTTTAAGTGAAGTTTTAAGACATTCAACTCTGAACTCCTAATTAGTTAAAAGAGTTAATTTCAGTTTTGGTCCTATGACTATTGGAATCTTGTTAATTTCAGTCTATGAGGAGTTTTAAAACTGTCAATTTAGTACCTTAACTATTCGATTTTTCTCAATTTCGGTCCATCTGATTAAATTTTCGTCGAAAATAATTGAAAAGACAAATTTGTCCTCAGTTATTTTTTGCCAAGGACTATTGAGGTCTTGTTAATTACAGTGTATAAGTTTTAAAACTGTCAATTTAGTACTTTAACTATCAACTTTTTCTCAATTTCTATCAATTCGATCAAATTTTCGTCGAAAAATAACTGAAAAGACCAAAATTTGCCCTCAGTTATTCTCCAATCCCACTTTGCCCGAGAGTTTGAGAGTGGCTTTGCACTCTTGTCTATTAAGAAGGTCGGGAGTTCGAACCCTCCAATCTGGCCTGCACTTTGCCCCTTAATTGGGCTGTTCCGGTGCGTATGAAAATTAGTCCGAGTATGGTTGATACGGGTTTAAACTCAGAGTCTAACAAAAAAACAGGTACTAAATTAATAGTTTCGGAATTTATGGACTGAAATTAATAAGACCCAATAGAGCAATTAAATATTAAAACGTAAACAATATTTTTTGTTAAAAAAACATCAAAACCTATTCTAATACATATTACAAAATCCAAAAACAAAAACAAACAAAATCAAAGCCTTTTCTTGTTCAAGCTATCCACAAGATGGCGCATTTGGAATCTCCAAAACATGAAATAAGCTAAACCCAAACCAATAAGAACAAAGATCCAAACATTGTCTTCGCTCTTTTCATTTTCAGACTCTATTTCCATTATTCCAAATTCATCCCTCTCCGCATTTACCATAATGCCCTCGTTGATATGCCCATATAACACGTACACCCTGTCCAAATTCCCCACCGTCACCGCGGAAGCGAACCGGTCTTCTTCGAGGGCAGTTTCGTCAAACACCACCCCCTCCATCCAGCTGTCTTGGCTTTTTAGGAAATACAGCTTCCGGTGGCTAACCGCCACCACGACGCCGTCGCGCCTGACGGCGATCCCGTCCGCCGCCGTTAAGTCCTTGTTGAGGAGAACGGTCCTCGCGCCGCCGTGTTCGACGTCGACTTTGAAGAGCTTCCCGGTGTTGGATTGGACGGCGAGTAGGTAGCCCTTGGAGATGTAAACGACGCCGTTTAGGCCGCATTTGTGGTAGTCGGCGGCGGCGTCCACCGGATACGATTTGAACGCCTTCGATCTGGACAGCACGGAGGCCTCGCCGTCGAAGTTGACTTTCCAGATGAGATCTCTCCCGGAGTTGGTGACGTAAGCGTTTCCAGAGAAATCCGTCGCGACGTCGTTTGCGACGGATTGGCTAGGGTTAGGGTTAGGGTTCCGATCATCTTCTTCTTCGTCGTCGATGAGGGGGGTTAGGAAGATGCGGCGGAGGGAGATGAGGTCGTAGGCCGCGAGGGCGTTGAAGGGTTCCGGCGCGGGGCGGTGGACGACGGCGAGGACGCGGTAGTGTCTCCGGTCGAGGGCGATGCCCAGGATCTTCGAGTCCGCCGGGAGAGAGGCGTCGGAGATCAGGGTTTCGGATACGCCGGCGTCGGAGACGGAGACGAGCTTCGGATAGCGTAGAGAGCCAACGACGAAGTGCTGGGACCTTGGGTCCCACACGAAGGACTCCGGGAAAAGGTTCTCCGATCGGAAGTTGATGACGTGGGGTCCCCGTCCGGCGACTACACCCACGAGAAAGACGACGGAGAAGAGAACAACGATTGCCGATGTTGTTTTCGACATCCTTTGGGATTTCCGGTTGGAACCAAATGCTTATATTAAGGATATAAATATATGTAATTATATAGTGATTAGTAAAGTAATTAAGTAATGTTGAATCAAAGTTAAATAGTTCGATTAGACTAATACTCCTATCCTAAATAGGTTTATCCTCCAAGCAAAAGACCAGTGGAAGAGGATGACTTGTCAAACAATGTGCCTTTTTTTTTTTTTTTTTTTTCAAATAAATATTTTATTATTATTATTATTATTATTATTATTATTATTATTATTATTATTATTATTTTGAAGAATTATTATTATTATTTTTAATCTTTGGTTTTTAATTTGATCATAATTGGTCTTTTAGACTATTGATTTTATTTCAGATTTGATTATTCAATTAACTGTTTGTTAAATAGGTGTTCAATTTAAGCGTAAGAATACAAAAATTAGCTAACATAATCGCCTCTTCATGTTTGAATATTTAAGGATGTTGAAAAATATTATATACTCCCTTCATCTCACTTTATGTATCTAGTTCAACGAGAATTGACTGAAGTTATTTTTAATTAAATTTTTTATAATATTAAGTTTGATATGGAGTAGTATCTATCCCGTAAAATTTATATATTTATAAAATACATTAAAAATAATATTAAATTCGTTGCAGAAAAAAGGTTTCCAATACGAATTATTAATTTATTACTCCGTATCTTACAATTTTGATCAAAGTAGTACTTTAACATAAATTACTCTGGATTTTCAAATTATAAATTCAATAAAAATAACTTTTTCTGTGGTCAGGAAAATCAGAAAATGTCGTATTGTCATAATTTATTTAGTTATTTTTTTTACAAAAATAAATAAATAAATATATTAAAAAAAAAAAAATGAAAAGAAGACAATCAATCTGTAAATACTTTAGTATAAAAGGTTAAATTGTTAAGAAGAAGGACATCCGGTCGTTGTAGTATAGTGGTGAGTATTCCCGCCTGTCACGCGGGTGACCCGGGTTCGATCCCTGGCAACGGCGAAGTGTTTTGTTAATGGAATTCCCTGATTACTTAGTTAAACGCCGTCGTTCTTGTAACCTCGATAAGCTTTAAGATGCCTATTATTTTAACGCTTTAATTTTTATTTTTATTTTTTTAATTTTTTAGGGTGCTGCAGAAAATTGAGATTCTTATAAGAGCACAGTAATCTTTTCTTCCTTTTAGAATTGTATAAAATGTTTTGATGACCTTATCACGAGTCATCCATTTGAAATCTAGTATTTTCTTTTAAATTTTTATATGAAATTTATTTAAAATTAAATTAATTTTTTTAAAAGAATGAGTTAATACCCAATATAGTCATCGGATATAATAATATTACTTAATTTAGTTCTAAATGATTTTTTTGTGCCCAATTTAGTTATTGAAACAACCCAATTCTTTCTTTGTTTTTTAGTTGTTTTTTTTAAAAAAAAAAAAATTAAGGGTCTGTTTGGAAAGTAGGAAAATGACTTCTGGAAAATGAGTCATTTTCCGGAAAACATTTTCATTTCCAGTGTTTGGTTGCATTCTGGAAAATTGTTTTAGTGTGTTTGGTTCATTTTCTGGAAAATGAGTAGAATTGTATAATTAAACATTTTAATTATTTTATTTAGAATATTACAACATGTATAATAATATAATAATAATAATTTTAAATATAATAAAAAATAACTAATAATATATCAAAAATATTATGGTGGTGGTGGTGGTGTAGTAGTAGTGGTGTTATTTGTTATATAATAATAATAATAATAATAATAATAATAATAATAATAATAATAATAATAATAATAACTGATGGTGGTATGACGGTGGTGGACTGGTGGCAGTGGTGGTGGTGGTGGTGTGGTGGCGGTGGTTGTAGTGGTATGGTGGTGGTGGTGGTGGTGGCGGCGACGGTGATTGCGTTGGTATAGTGGTGGTGGTGGTGGCGGCGGTGGTATGATCGTGGTGGTGGCGGCGGTGGTGTGATGCTGGTGGTGTGGTAGTGGTGGTAGTTGCGGTGGTATGGTGGCGGTGGCGGTGGCGGTGGCAGCAGCGGTGGTATGGTGGTGGTGGTGGCAGCGAAGGTGGTTGCGGTGGTATTGTGGTGGTGGCGGCGGCGGTTGTGGTGGTATGGTGGTGGTGGCGGCGACGGTGGTTGCGGTGGTAGCAGCGGCGGGGGTGGTGGCGGCGGCGGTGGTGTGATGGTGGTGGTGTGGTGGCAGTGATATGGTGGTGGTGTGGTGGCAGTGGTATGGTGGTGGTGGTGGCGGCGACGATGGTTGCGGTGGTAGTGGTAGCAGCGGTGGTGGTGGTGGTATGGTGTTGGTGGTGGTGGTAGTAGTGGTGGTAGTGGTATGGTGGTGGTGGTAGTGGTTGCGGTGGTATGGTGGTGGTGTGATGGTGGTGGTGTGGTGGCGGTGGTTGCGGTGGTATAGTGGTGGCGGCGACGGCAGTAGTGGTGGTGATGGTGGTAGTGAGGTGGTGGTGGTATGGTGTTGATGATGTTGGTGGTGGTGTGATGTTGGTGTAAAAGTTGGAAAATGACTTCCCCCCAAAAAAGGAGAAGTCATTTTCCTCCAAAACAAGCTTATTTTCCAAAGTCAACGGAAAATGATTTCCGTTGACTTGATTTTCCAAGCACATCCAAACAGTGAAAACTTGGAAAATGATTTCCAGAACTCATTTTCCAAGTTTCCAAACACACCCTAAAAATGTTTGCATTGACTTCATCTCTATATGCTTTATTTTTAATTAAAATCAATAAGACCACATTAGATAAATACCGGCGCCATGTCTATATCCAAGACATTCAACAAGGGATGTTCTCCATGAATTCTTTCTCCAAGTCATTTTCCGGACATTGCTTTTGCGGTTGGAATGCTAGGGCGTTACCAACATAATCCGGGGTTAGACTATTGGAGAGCTGTAAAGAAGGTTCTAAGGTATCTCAAAGGAACCAAATGTTACAAGCTTGGGTTTAGGCAGACAAACAATTTAGATGTTATCAGTTATTCAGACGCGGACTTCGCTGGTTGTGTTGATTCTCGAAAATCAACTTCAGGGTGAATTTTTATTATTGCCGGTGGGGCTATCTCATGGAGAAGTGTTAAACAGTCCTTAATAGCTACTTCTACCATGGAAGCCGAGTCCGTATCCTATTTCGAGGCTACTTCACAGAATGTTTGGCTAAAGAATTTTATCGGCAGTTTCGAAATGGAGCAGCAGAGGTTTCAAAGGCAGTTTCGAAATCAATTAGGAGCAGAGGTTTCAAAGGCAGAATAATAGAGACAAGGTAATAATAAAATAAAATTAAACCTTGGCTTTGTTCGAAGAGGGAAATGATAGATGGATTGAAGAGGATGACTTTAGTTCGGTTTTTTTTTTTTGTTGGCGCGGAAACTGGGGAGAAGTCTTGTCTTGCAGTTAAGATATTGAAAAAAATAGCGTTGAAAAATTCAAAGTTTAATTTACAGTTGTCAATTCCAATGTTGTTTTATGTTACGGGGTTTAATTCTTCCCTTCCCCAAGAATGTAAATCATCTCCCAAAGTTGAATCCTCACTCTAAGGACCCCCACACTTCGACCCTACAGAGCATGTGAAATGATGTAAATGATGTGGGCTTAGAATTATAGATTCTAAAGGCGAATTTTTTTTAATGATTTATGAATCGAAACAACAATTATGAAAGGTCAGGATGCAACATAAAAAATCCGTCATAGTTTATAGTGTGGAATAACACTTAATCCATTGAAAATCGAAGTTGTAACTTCTTATTTACAAAAAAGAATAAATAAAATAAAATAATAATAATAATAATAATAATTAAAAATTCTCCCTTCACTCACAACAACAAGTTCTTAATAAGCTACATTTGCCACCACCATAGCCCTGAGATTTGCAAGATTCATCGCATAACTTTTTAGACCAACACCCTCCCACCTGCCCAAAGCACCACTGTTGGCTGGTGTCATGCGCAGCCGTCATTGTTGGACCCATTTCTGCTTCATACCAATATCAACATAATTTATTTTTATTGTAAAAAATACTATCCATACCTATACTTATATTACGTATACCATTCTTTATTGTTCTCAATAATGCTGATTTACATATATATATTTATGTATGTTTATATTGAAATACATTTTGTGGGGGGAGGGGTGGGGTGGGATGGGGTTGCTACCAATATCATAATGGCATTATATTCCCATACTATTTGATACCAATATCAACACAATTCAATCTATTTTGTGTGGTGATTTACATACATCTATTGGTTTGTAAAAGAAATTACCAGTAGAAGAAAGGAGCACCAAGAAGAGGAAGAGGATGGTAAGAGACTTCGAAGAACCTGCCATTGCTCTCAATTTTGGGCTTCTTATTTTATTTTTTTTTTATTTTTATTTTTTATTTTACTTTTATTTCTACATATAATATATGTGTGAGTGAGTATGAAAGGCTCAAAACATGTAACTCTATATATAGGGTATATATGTTTGGTTTGTAATGAACAAGTTGTGTTATTTGTCCTATGTTTTAGGCTAGCCAACAAGAATGTATGTTAAAGCTACAATGTATTTAGGATTGAGTTACTATTTCTTTGGGATATCACAAGCTTTTATTTTGATTATGTTTCTATCACAATTAACAATAACAATTAATTTTTTTTTTAAAAAACAATAACAATTAAATGATTAATATAATTGAGCTTCTTAAAACATGGCCTATTGGATTCTAAAAAAATAAAGAAAAAATAAAGACCTATTTGTGTTGAATGTTTGTGAGGGTGTGTTTATTGAGTTTATTCTAACGCTCAATATCCATTTCCAATATCTTTCTCTTCTCAATGATAATATCTTCAATTCCAATCAAATATTTACGGGTTCACTATCATTTTAATTATCTTTTTTTTTTTTTTTTTTTTTTTTTTTTTTTTTTTTTTTTGTGTGTGTGAATCTTTATTATTCATCATTCAATCTAATATAAGATGAAGAGATATAATTATAAAAAAAGTCCTTTAGTAATATTCATATTTATTTAAAACACTCCTCTGGACATTACAAAACAGTACATGATATATGTGTATTCAATCATGCACAACAACAATCAGGGTACACACACATGCCTGCCTTAGAGCCTCGTTTCTTGCATAATGCATCACATTTATCATCATTGCAGTCCTTTACATTGCCAAAGCACTTCTTGCCCTTACCATTCACTTCTCCAACCCTAATTGGGCTTGTCTCTGCTTGTCTTGTGACCGTAGCTGACAAAAGATCATAAGGAGGTAAATCAGTCTAAATCGTCCGTAATTGATCGGTTCAAACCAAGAAGGGTAATAGGCCAGGCCACTTCCATTAATAGTCAAACATGTAACTTTGTGGTTAATTACCAAGTCACAAGTCTGACCAACTAACTTAATTGAGGTTAAAAGTGACACCTTTATAAATAATAAGTAGTGAAAGTAAAACAATTGTTCCATTTACAAAAAAAAAAAAAAAAAAAAAAAAAGTCAGCGCTTATTTTTGTTTATAGTAGTCAGACAATAGGATATGGCTTATGTATACAAAGTACATTATTTGTTTTGGGTGTATGCCAGAGGTTCTATCGTCGGACACAGTGAATAATTTCCTCGCTAAATTGTAGGCATCTCTATTGGGTGGGATAGCTGACCTGGAGATTATAACAAATGCTCAATCTGTCTCATTTTGCAAGTTTTATTTATTATTCATTGTAAATCATTGGTCAATTGAACTCTTCTTTCTTTGATTATTTTCTGTAACATTTTTTTTTAATTTCTAATTTTAATTTTTTTTTTCTTTGTTTTGTTTTTTGTGAGTTTAATAGTACTTTTATGTAGTTTTTAATTAAACATATAAATTTTATACACTAACACTAAATTAAATATTATAGAAAATTAAAGTGTACATAACTTCAATCTATCCTTATTAGTCGAATTCGACACATGAAATAGAGAGAGAGTAAACAATTTGTTAAGTAAAAAGTTTTTCAGGATAATTACTAGAAAATGAAATAAGAACTAAAAAGATTAACATAATAGCAAACAACTTAAAGAAATTAAACCTCCCATTATTGTTGATTTTATATTTTTATTCTTAAGTCTTTTTTTTTTTTTTCTTCTATAAATGTATTTAAACAAACATGAATGACCTCAAGCACATACATGTAACATAACTCTTTTTTTTTTTTTTTTTCTTTGGTGTGCTACTCAACCACACCCCAGGTTCATGTAAGATAACTCTATGTATAGGATATTCTTGCTTGGTTTGTAATAAATATGTATCAATATATATATAAAAGAATGAAAATTCTCAAACATAACAACCCCAAGCATGTAAGAAACATGTTAGAGACCAATAACATAACTTAAGCATGACCCTAAGTATTTAGGATTTGATTACTATTACAACAATATGTTTGGTTAATGGGATAACTTTTAGAAGAATTGGAATCCTATTTCATAAGTAATAAAACAAGTAAGGAATATAATAGGAATTCTAATCATTGTTCGGTTAATGGGAGAAATAGACTTCAAGATTTTTATTCTGAAATTTGCTTAATTTACAACACATTTGGTTTACATAATGGGTCTAAAATGTAATAGCATTTTCGTGAATAAACTTATTCTATTTTTACATTTTTTAGTAAGTCAAGTTATTCTCAGAAATGAACTATTCGTCTTGCAAAGGAAATAGTTATTCCAAATTGAAGCATGCACTCCATATCAACTAAAAGGCCACTCTAATAGTTGGTCTACACATTTATATTTATATATTATATGTTCAACATTCCAAGGGGGCTAATATTATAATACGCATCATATTTTATAAGGAATAAAATAGGCCAGATACGAAAGGATTAAATTAAAATATTTTTAATATAATGTTTAACTTGACAAAGATAAAAGTAAGTATTACATTAATACTTCAAGGATCGGATAAAATAACATACATTGACATCACTTGCTCAATATTTTAGTTAATAAATAACAATGAAAACATTGTACTTAACATCAAGCATGAGAGAATATATATGTTTACAAAAATATAAATATATTTTGTATTTTAACAAATTCAAAAAAAAAAAAAAAATTCAAATTATAAATGAAGATTTATTCAGAAGGAATTTACCAGTAGAAGTAAGGAGGACCAACAAAAGGAACATAGTGACAAACAGTTTAAAGGATCGAGTCATTAATCTTTGATTTGAAACTTATTTTTGTTTTGTACAAATGATTGTAAATGTACAAGCTAAGAAAGATCTCTTGTAATCGAAACTTATTTTTGTTTTGTACAAAGGATTGTAAATGCACAAGCTAAGAAAGATCTCTTGTACATATATATAATTCTGTACGTATATATATAGTGTATGTTTGATGATTTTAATATAAATACGTGCAATTACTTGTCCTGTTTTCTAACATGAAACACCACAAATTAAACATGACACCATGCATGTAACAAACATTTTAATGATGCTTACACGGAACAAATTATTATTAGATGTAAATTAGTTTTCTTTTTTTTTTTTTTAATTTTAATTTTATTTTTTTATTTTCTAACATGAAACACCACAAATTAAACATGACACCATGCATGTAACAAACATTTTAATGATGCTTACACGGAACAAATTATTATTAGATGTAAATTAGTTTTTTTTTTTTTAGTTGACAAAAAATAAGGTGATATGATGGAATAGTTAATGACAAAAGAGTAATTTTAACAAGATATTTTTTTTTTAAAAAAAATTAATGAAGTCTTATGATCTAAATAATAGAATGAACTCAAAAGCATACCAACGGAATGGTATGTTCGTCACATTGTTATATTTGGTTGTTAACATAAGCTTCACAAAAGATCTTACCAGATTTTGAAAGATGCTTAGAAACCAGTAAAACCATTAAGAGTCGGTTTAAAAACTTAAAAAATGATTTCTTGATGTTATTTTTCTAATTTTCTAATGTTTGGCTATCAACAAAAAATACTTATTTTGATAAAAAGAAAAAGACCCATTTTGACGAAAAATATATTATGCGATTTATATTTCAAAAATATTTTTTAAATTTCTGTCTCATACATAGTTCTTTCTCTCTCTTTCTCCCTCTAAGTGATGTCAAATGGGTGGTTTAACCCGACACCTGTGGTCTATTTAGTTATTATTTGAACTGGTTTAGGCTAGTCCAATTGGGATTGATCTCTTCCTCTTCTTCTTGCATAAAATATTTCATCCTAAGTATGAATTTGGTTGAGCTTGGTGAAACAATAATTTGACCCAATCTGGCCCATAGCCTAAAAGGTTAAAAAAAAAATACTATAATTCTTTCTTCAACTTTGTTAACTTAAACTTTCAATCGTTATATCGTACGTGGAGGGTCCAATACACATAATTTATGTTCATAATACATATATACATAAACATGATATAATGAACTTGAATTATGTGCATCATATAGCTGATGACATATAAACACTTAATATAATACACAAAATTCATGCTCATAATGCACATAATTCATATTCATTATATCGTGTTTATATGTATGTGTATTATGAACATGAATTTTGTGCATTATGAACATGAATTCTGTACTTTACGACGTCAAATTTTGTGTATTGAACTAGGGTCCACAATGCACTATAACCCTAGTCGTCCACGATATAAATTGCCTAAATTTATTAATGACTAATTAAATTATGAATTAGGTTGGGCCGAACTAAACAATAAAAATCTTGACCCGAGCTACAACCCAACAATAAAAGAATAAGCTTTGACGGACTAGGCCAAACCAAACAATAAAAATCTTGATCCGGCCTAGCCCACATTCATAAACTAGCCGTTTTGATCCTTTGGAACAACTCGATGAATTTAATAGATCGTTTTCAAAATTCACTCGCTCCCTCACCCGACCCAACTTGATAGTTTATAAATAAATCACAGTGATTCAACGATTCATTGACCTTATTTGACAATCCATAATTAGCGAATTTGACCAGAGAATTATATAAGTAGTGTTTGTGCAACTCCCTTTTATTTTTCCATTTTTTTTTTCATGTCGATTGTCGATTTATCGATAGAAAAAGTGAGATTGGAACCTTTAAGCTCCTACAAAAAGGCATCAAGGCTCCATAAGAGCATCCATATCAATAGAAAACTTTACACAATTTTTTAGGTGCATGTATGAGAGATAAAAATAGAAGAGAAAAAGAAAAGCAAATAAAAAAAATCTGACAATTTTCTTTAAAAAGAAACCAACAGTGTGCGCTCCACTTGCACAGTTCGAGTTTTTTTGTTGTTTTTTCTTTTTTTTTTTTTGTTTTTTTTTTTTGTTTTTTTTTTTGTTTTTGAGAAAGAATTGAAAAGAAACCATGGTTGAATCTTTTTCAAAATGTCAAACTAAAATGCTGTAATATGTCACATTTCAAATTTTTTTGGGGTGTTTTGACGAAGGTCAAAATATCAAAATGGTGGATCTGTCATTTACTAAACAAGTCCTTGTGGGAGGATCAGTGTTTAATGTCCACAATAATCCATAATATTGAATGTAACTCACACATTACTGTTACCCAAGTTTGATACAGTGTGTCTTTAGCCACAATTTACCACCAGGAACCAACTGAATGCACTTCACATATTATCGAGTGCACTTGTATATGTCACAACATATATTTAGTAGTGTTGAAAAGTGTACATTTAACAAATTGAATGCAATTCACATATATGTTGTACTCAATCACGATACTTTTACCTAAACTACATAAAGCTAAAATATAATGCTAAAAAAGGAGAAAAAATACTAATCCCCTAGTTCTATTTTCAATCACTTCAGACTCTTGTAACCCTTCTGTGGATAGCAGCAGCAATTAAATCCAAAGCATCTACCTCTTTCATAACCGGCCCCCTTTCTAAGGCAATATTTAGTGCAAGATTTAGCGGTCAAGCAAAGCTTGCTAAAATCATCACAGTTATGTGATTCTCCAAGCATCATTGGACCAATCTCTGCCCATGTTTAAACCAAAAAGAAACAACAACAAAAAAAAAAAACATCCTCAAACAGTTATGATGTTAACTTCGTGTACGACATATTTTTATTGAGTTTAACTTCATTGTTTTGTCGTTAGATATTCATTAACTTGGGACCAAATCAATAACTTTACTATAGTCAAAGGGGACATTTCGGTAAATAACTTTTCAGAGGAAATGGTGCATGTGATGACCGAATTGGTAATTGGTCCGGTGATGCTTGGAGAATCACATAACTGTACGTGATGATACTACCAAGGTTTCCCGAACCTATAAAATGATAAGATCAAGCATTCAAGCCTGTCCTTAAAGAGATTTGCATGTATGATCTAACAAACTATATTGCACTATTAATGCAGACTTTTGTAAAAGAAATTACCAGTAGAAAAAAAGAGCGCAAACAGGAGGCAGATGGTTGCTGTAGTCTTTAATGAACTTGCCATTGCCATCAATAGTTTTGAGATTCCAACTTTATTTTTATTATTTATGTTACTTTAATAATAATAATTACAATAGTACGTAATTATTATTATTATTATTATTTTATTTTATTTTATTTATTTTAACAGGAGTATATGTAAACGAATTGAATATGCTCTATATATAGGGGTTAGTTGGTAATGAATATGTTTTGTTATTTATCCTACTTTTTAGGTGAGTCAGATAACATGTTAGTGATAAAACTAGTATTTAGGATTCAGGTATTGCTATTGTTCAAATTATGCCTCAGCAATATTTGTGATGTAAATTAATACAATCATGAGTTTTTAAAATAATGATTATAATCTGGATCTAAACTTATTGAAATGGTTCAGGATTATATAAAAATAATAATACTTAAATAATTAATAAGATCAATAAAAATAATGTTTTTGGGTATATATATCCTGAGTCCTAACAAATATAAAATACATTCGAAATAATTTTACCTGAAACGAATATATTCAAATTATTATTTGGTTTGGATATAAGATTTTTGAAATGTCAATCATAATTTTTGTATATAATTTTCAAAACCATAAATGTGTTAATTTGGATCTTCTTCTCCTTCAAAAAAATAATATATATGTTGATTCCTTTTATTATTTACCGAAATAGTTATATTATGGATCAATATAATGTCAATATAGCAACTTGGTTACCAGCATGCGTAGAGTGTTTGTAAGAGCTTAGGCTCCGTCTACCCCAGGTTCCCCCATCCCATTTGATTAAAAAAAAAAAAAACATAATAAAATGTTAGTTTTTTATTTTTTATTTTTTTAATGCTTACATTAAAAAAAAAAAAGCATAAATGTGTAATTTTGTGTCAAGGTATCATTTTTTTAGATTAGAAAAGAGAATGGTTATTTTGTCACAATGTTATCTTCTTCTTCTTCTTCTTTTTTTTTTTTTTTTTTTTTTTTTTTTTTTTTTTTTGCTTTTTTCTTATAGGGGTGGAGTTGAGTGGGGGCATGGGATTTTTGAGTACATGAAAATGAGGGAATTGTAACGCCCATACACTCGTAACTAAAGTTTCATTTTAATGTGGACCATGTCTCAAAACGGTGTCGTTTCTTTTAATGAAAAGAAACTGCACCTGTTTCGTGTAATTAGTTCTGTTTTTATAACATATATATATATATATATATATATATATATATATATATATATATATATATATATATATATATATTCAGTTTCATTTTATATACATTGTAATTTGATTTCAGTACAACTAAAGTTTCATTTTGTTTCAATTATAGTTTCATTTGACATTATATATACAATAGTATTATTACAATGAGACATGTTATTGAATTTCATTTTATACACACTGTAGTCTTATTACAACACCACTAAATTATAATTCTAATTCAATTATGGTTTTACTAGATAATATACACTCAAAAATGTGAAACTGTTATTCAGTTTCATTTTATATACTCTATAGTTTCAATTTTTTTTTTAATTTAGGGTTATTACATTTGTCGATGTCAAATTAAATATGAGATGGACTAGGCCAAACAAACAAACCAAAAAAAAAAAAAAAATCTTGATCCGACGTAGCTCACATTCCCCAATTTTTTTTTCAATTTTTTTAATTCAAAATTATTATATTTATCAATTTATATATTTATTTTTTATTATTTTTTTGAAAAGATATTTATTTTTATTATAATAATACACACATGAGCAAACTCAAGTGAAAACTCGTTTTCAGATAAAATTGAGAGTGAATTCCATTTTTGGTCATACTGTTATAGGGGCGTTTCCAATTTTAGTCTACCTTAATTTTTTTTCCACTTTATAACCACTATTATTGAATGTGTTCCACTTTTAGTCCCACCGTTAGTATTTTCATCAAGAGGCCGTGTAATCTAGGGGTATTTTGACCTTTCTTCTCATCCAAGACTATGTTTGACTAAAGAAATGAGAACATTAAACCTAAAACCTAAGAAACCTCGCCGGCCCATGTTGGAACGAACGAAACGATGTAGCTTTGGCTTCCCATTCTCGTTGTTCGGAGAGCCATCTTCGAATATCGGAGGAGGAGGACGAAGCCGCTGGATTAAAAGATAAGAGACAAACATAAAAAGACCAAAATACCCTTTGATTATACGGTCTCTTGACAGAAATATTAACGGTGGACTAAAAGTGGAACACATTCAATAACAGTGGTTGTAAAGTGGCAAAAAAAATTAAAGTGGACTGAAATTGGAAACGCCCCTATAACAGTAGGACCAAAAATGGAATTCACTCTAAAATTGAGAACCGTTCTTATTCATCGATTTGGGAAGATCAATAATTCTGAAGCAATAAAAAAATATTATGACATTTCAATAATTACATCATGCTTCGAGTGTACTCAGCAACACGTACTTTAAAAAGTGTATTATTTGATATTTATACTGCAATCTCATTTATACATGGCAAAATTCACTCGGTCTCACACTCAACTCGACATGATAGTAAATAAATAAATTTCCACAATCACCACCACCATTGTATTACACCCGGTGGCCCGGTGGAAAGCAGCAGCAATTTAATGCTAAGCATTCACCTTCTTCATAGCCCCGTTTTTGGCAAAATTTATTGCAAGAATTAGCCGTCATGCAAAGCTTGATATTATTAGAACAGTTATATGATTCTCCAAGCATCATTGGACCCATCTCTGCCCATGTTTAAACCAAAAAATTAAAAACAAAAAAAGAACGAACAAACCATACATCCTCAAATAGTTATGATGTTAACTTCATGTAAGACATATTTTTTATATTTTGCAAATATATAGTTATTTAATATATATTTACAAATATATAATATATTTTGCATTTTAACAAATTCAAATTATAAATAAATCCAAGACCTTGCGGTCAAGCGGCATGATTGTGAAACTTTTATTAGGTTGAGAAAAATATGTATGAATAGATACTATATTATAACAGAATCAATATTATTACTAAAAAAATTATAAATGAAAATTTATTCAAAAGGAATTACCAGTAGAAGTAAGGAGGACTAACAAAAAGAACATAGTGACAGACATTTTAAAGGATCGAGCCATCAATCTTCGATTTGAAACTTATTATTTTTGTTTTGTACAAATGTATGTAAATGTACAAGAAAGATCTCTTGTATGTATATACCTGTGTACGTATATAGTGTATGTTTGATGATTTTAATATAAATAAATACGTGTAATTACTTGTCCTATTTTCTAACATGAAACACCACAAAATAAACATGACACCATGCATGTAACAAACATTTTAATGATGTTTACACGGAACAAATCGTTATTAGATGTGAATTAGTTTTTTTTTTTTTTTTTTTTTTTTTTTTTTTTTTTTGGGTTAAAGAAAAAATGACCCATTTTGACGAAAAATATATTCTTAGATTTTTGTTCCAAAAATATTTTTGGAATAAGGTTCAAATCGGCCACGTAACCTGAAAATACAATTAGGCCACTGAATGAAAAAAAAAGTGCAATTAGGACATTGAACACTCTAAATGTATGCAATTTCACCTGATAACAGGTTACTATCAATTTAAGCAGGTTACCGGCTTACGTGGCAGCTGAGTTGACATTTCTAATAATTTTTAATATTAATAGAGTGTTTGTAAGAGTTTAGGCTCCGTCTACCTCGGGTTCCTCCTATTAGGACTAGTATTATGATTCTTGTATTTGAGTCATAGTATGACTCGATAGAGTGTCTTTAACAACAGGAACCAACTGAATTCACTTCATATATTATCGAGTACACTTGTATATATCACAACATACATTTGGTCGTGTTCAAAAGTGCACATTTAACAAACTGAATGCATTTCACATATATGTTGTACTGAATCACCATACTCCTACTTAAAATAATACATAAGGCTATAATATAGATATATACTATATTATAACAGAATTAGTAGTACTAGAAAAAAAAAATTATAAGTAAATATTTAATTTATTCAAAAGAAATTACCAGTAGAACTAAGGAGGACCAACAAAAGAAACATAGTGACAAACAAATTAAAGGATCGAGTCATTAATCTTCAATTTGAAACTTATTTTTGTTTTGTACAAATGTATGTAAATGTACCAGAAAGATCTGATCTCGTGTATATATTACTCTTTACGTATATAGTGTATGTTTGATGATTTTAATATAAATACGTGTAATTAGTTGTCCTATTTTCAAACATTAAACACCACAAACATGACACCATGCATGTAACAAACATTTTAATGATTCTAACACGGAACAAATCATTATTAGATGTAAATTAGTTTTTTTTTTCTTTTTTTTTTTTTTACAAAGGAAGGGGGACACCCACATATACTATCTACGCCTTCACCAAGGCTCGAACTTAAGACATCCCACATAAGGGGCCAATCATTAGTTCTTTTTTTTTTTGTTAAAGAAAAAAGACCCCTTTTGATGAAAAATATATTCTTAGATTTTTGTTCCGAAAATATTTTTTAAATTTCTGTCTTACACATAGTTCTTTCTCTCTCTCTCTCTCTTTTCCTTTAAGTGGTGTCAAATGGGTGGATTAACTCGCGGTCTATCTAGTTATTATTTGAACTGGATTAAGCTAATTTGATTAAAGTATGCATGAATCTGATCAAGCTATGCCAAACAAAAAAACTCTTGACCGTCTACCCCATAGCCTAAAAAGTTAAAAAATATAATAAATTCTTTCTTCAAGTTTGTTAGCTTAGACCAATAGTTATGCTGTGCAACCGAATGCACCATGCGCATGGTGCATACGATGCAAAACGACGTCGTTTTGACTAAATTATTATAATAATTAATTCAAAATTATTATATTTATCAATCTATATATTTATCTTTATTATAATAATTAATACACACATGATCAAGTTCAAGTGAGAACTCGTTTTCAGAGAAAATTGAGAACCATTCTTATTCATCGATTTGAAAAGATCAACAATTCTGAAGCAAGAAAAAAATATTGTGACATTTTAATAATTACATCATGCTTCGAGTGTACTCAGCAACACGTACTATAAAAAGTGTATTATTTGATATTTATCCTGCAATCTTATCCATACAAAGCAAAATTCACACCTCTCACACTCGACTCGACATGATAGTAAATAAATAAATCTCCACAATCACCATTGTATTACACCCGGTGGCCCGGTGGATAGCAGCAGCAATTTAATTCTAAGCATCCACCTCCTTTATAGCCCCCTTTTTGGCAAAATTTAGTGCAAGTTTTAGCGGTCATGCAAAGCTTGGGATTATTATAACAGTTATATGATTCTCCAAGCATTATTGGACCCATCTCTGCCCATGTTTAAACCAAAAAATTAAAAAAAAAGAACAGTCATACATCCTCAAACAGTTATGATGTTAACTTCATGTAAGACATATTTTTATATTTTGCAAATATATTGTATATTTAATATATATATTTACAAATAAATAATATATTTTGCATTTTAACAAATTCAAATTATAAATAAATCTAAGACCTTGCGGTCAAACCGCATGACTATGAAACTTTTATTAGGTTGAGAAAAATATGTATGGACAGATACTATATTATAACAGAATCTGTATTACAAAAAAAAAATTATAAATGAAAATTTATTCAAAAGGAATTACCAGTAAAAGTAAGGAGGACCAACAAAAGGAACATAGTAACAAACAGTTTAAAGGATCGAGCCATTAATGTAATTTTTGATTTGAGACTTATTTTTGTTTTGTACAAATGTATGCAAATGTACTAGAAATATCTCTTTTATATATATAACTCTGTACGTATATAGTGTATGTTTGATGATTTTAATATAAATACGTGTAATTACTTGTCCTATTTTCAAACATGAAACACCACAAACATGACACCATGCATGTAACAAACATTTTAATGATGCTTACACGGAACAAATCATTATTAGATGTAAATTAGTTTTTTTTTTTTTTTTTTTTTTTTTTTTTTTTTTGGTTAAAATAAAAGACTCATTTTGACGAAAAATATATTCTTAAATTTTAATAATTATCTCAAGCTTTGAGTGTACTGTGCAAAAGTATCAAATTTATTATTTGATATTTATAGTGAAATCGTACCCACATAAGGCCTAATTCACTCGCTCCCACACAAGACCCGACAGAATAGTGAATAAGTAAATTACGGTGACTCTGCAACTCATTGTCCTTATTTGGAAATTTGCAGTTAACGAATTGTGTTAGTGGTTAGTGTATAACAAATTTGACTAGCGAATTATATAAGTGATTTGTGCAACTCCTCTTTATTTCTCCACATTTTCCTGTCAATTGTCGGCTGAAAAAATGGGAAACATCAACGCTCCATTAGAGCATCCATATCAATGGAAAATTTTTTACTCAATTTTTTTGATGCCATGTATGAGAGATAAAAATAGAAGAGAAAAAAAAAAGCAATAAAAAAATCTGACATTTTTTTAAAAAAAGAAACCAACAGTTATTTTGTCAAAGTGGCCGCTAGTTGGCTCATGGCGGCCACTCTGACGCGCCCCAGTGGAGCGTGGGGAGGGGGCGCGAAGTGTGCTCCACTTACATAGTTTTTTTTTTTTTTTTTTTTTTTTTTTTGCAAAAACTATGTTTTGCAGGAGAAAGAATTGACAAAATTAAATTCCATGGTCTACATCATAATAAAAACCAAGCTGTGTTTTAAGATGTGAAAAAATTATAAAAAAGTTACATATGTGGTTACTCTAATCTGCCTGTCATTTTATATGGTCAAAATGGCTCATGTTATATATCACAACATACATTTTATCGTGTTCAAAAGTATGTGTACATTTAACAAACTGAATGCACTTTACATATATGTTGTACTCAATCATGATACTCTTACCTAAAATACATAAAGCTATAATATAATGCTAAAAAGTGAGAAAAATATTGTAATAAAACAACAAATACTAATCCCCTAAGAGTTTTATTTCCAATTACTTTAGAGGAGCCATTTCAATTCAAGCATGATTGTAAAACCCAAAACTCTCCACTATCACCACCACCATTGTGTTACGGCATCGGTGGCGGCTTCGGTGAAAAGCAGGACCAATCTCTGCCCATGTTTAAACCCCCCCCTCCCCCCCCCCCCCCCCCCCAAAAAAAAAAAAAAAGAAGAATGAACAATCATACATGTATAATATATTCTACATTTTATCAAATTCAAATTCTAAATAAATCAAATACCTTGCGGTCAAGCGGCAGGGCTGTGAAAACTTTAATTAAGTTAAGAAAATATGTATAGATAGATACTATATTATAACAAAATTAATAGTACTAGAAAAAAAATATAAGTGAATATTTAATTTATTCAAAAGAAATTACCAGTAGAACTAAGGAGGACCAACAAAAGGAACATAGTGACAAACAATTTAAAGGATCGAGTCATTAATCTTCGATTTGAAACTTATTTTTGTTTTTTACAAATGTATGTAAATGTACAAGAAAGATCTGATCTCTTGTGTATATATTACTCTTACGTATATAGTGTATGTTTGATGATTTTAATATAAATACGTGTAATTTTTTTTTTTTTTTGAAAGTTACTGGCTCTATTACATTGTAGTATCTGTTCATATACTTTCTCAACCTACTGAAACACAAAGAACCAATAACGCCTCCACTGAGGCTTGAACTCATAATCTTCCAAATGGAAATCCAACCCGGATACCATTAGACCACATAGTCCTGGTATAAATACGTGTAATTAGTTGTCCTATTTTACAACATTAAACACCACAAACATGACACCATGCATGTAACAAACATTTTAATGATTCTAACACGGAACAAATCATTATTAGATGTAAATTAGTTTTTTTTTTTTTTTTTTTTTTTTTTTTTTTTTGTTATAGAAAAAAGACCCCTTTAATGAAAAATATATTCTTAGATTTTTGTTCCGAAAATATTTTTTAAATTTCTGTCCTACACATAGTTCTTTCTCTCTCTCTTTTCATTTAAGTGGTATCAAATGGGTGAATTAATTCACGGTCTATCTAGTTATTATTTGAACTGGATTAAGCTAATTTGATTAAAGTATGTATGAGTCTGATCAAGCTATGCGAAACAAAAAAAACTCTTGACCCAGTCTACCCCATAGCCTAAAAAGTTAAAAATTATAATAAATTCTTTCTTCAAGTTTGTTAGCTTAGACTTATTAAATTTATTAATGACTAATTAAAATATGATTTGGGTTGGGCGGGACTAAACAATAATTTTTTTGGCCAAACCTATAACCCAACAACAAAAGTCAAACACATTCCCACCAAACAAAAAAAAAATTCTTCATTTCTTTAATTAAAAATTATATTTATCAATTTATATATATATATATATATATATATATATATATATATATATATATGACAGAGAAATTTTTTTTATTCTCGACAGGGAAGTCCCATAAAATTATTTTTTGTTCATTACTAAAATGAATCAAGTGATAATCTGTCCTCAAGAGAAAATTGAGAACCATTCTTATTTCTTATTCATCGATTTTGGAAGATTAACAATTCTGAAGCAAGAAAAAGATGTTGTGATATTTTAATTAATAATTATCTTAAGCTGTGAGTATACTGTGTAACACTATCAAATGTATTATTTGATATTTATAGTGCAATCTTACCCACATAAGGCGAAATTCAGTCCCTTCCACACCAGACCCGACAAGATAGTAAATATGTAAATCACGGTCACTCAGTAACTCATTGATCTTATTTGACAATCCGCAATTAGCAGATTGTGTTAGCGAATTATATAACTGATTTGTGCGACTCGATCACCTTTATTTCTCCACTTTTAATTTTCATGTCAATTGCCGATTTTTGTCGGTGAAAAAAGTGGGATTGGAGCTTTTAGGCTTCCTACAAAAGGGGCATCAAGGCTCCATAAGAGCATCCATATCAATAGAAAATTTTACACAATTTTTAGGTGTCATGTAGGGAGATAAAAATAGAAGAGAAAAAGAAAAGCAGTAAAAAAATCTGACATTTTTTTTTTTAAAAGAAACCAACAATTGTTTTGTCAAAGTGGCCGCCAGCTGGTGGCCACCATGATGTGCCCCAGTGGGGCAAGAAGTGCGCTCTACTTGTGTTGTTCGAGCTTGTTTTTTTCTTCTCCGTGCAAAAACATGACAAAGAATTGACCAAAACCATGATTTACGTCATTATAAAAATCAAACTCTGTTTTTAAGATCTGAAAAAACTATCAAAAAATTACATGTGTGGTTGCTCTAATCTGCCTGCCCATGAATTGATGGGCTGGCTTTTAATTGGGAGCGAGACTCCTTTTTAAAGGGTCAAAATGGGTCATGGCCTGGTGTTTAGTGCAAGTTTTAAGTTATTTTTTTTTTAATAAAAAATAATTATATGAGAATTTTGGAGAAAGATGAGTCTGTTTTCAAAATGTCAAACTAAAATGCTGCAATATGCCACATTTCAGTTTTTCTTGGTGTTTTGACCAAGGTTAAAATATCAAAAATGGTGGATTCATCATTTACTAAACAAGTCCTTAGGTGGGAATTGTAATCCCCCTACACTCGTAATTAAAGTTTCATTTTATTGTGGATCATGTTTCAAAACGGTATCGTTTCTTTTAATGAAAAGAAACCGCATATGTTCCGTGTAATTAGTTCTGTTTTTATAACATATTCAATTTTATTTTATATACATTGTAATTTTATTTCAGCGCAACTAAAATTTCATTTGACATTATACATACAATAGTATTATTACACTTACCTCAAATAGTATTATTACACTGAGACATGTTATTGAATTTCAATTTATACACACTGTAGTTTTATTACAATACCACTAAATTATAATTCTAATTCAATTATGATTTTACTGGATAATATATACTCAAAAATGTGAAACTGTTATTCAGTTTTACTATATATATATATATATATATATATATATATATATATATATATATATATATATATATACTGTAGTTTCAATTTTTTAAATTCAGGGTTATTACATTTGACGATATCAAATTAAGTTTCAATTTTTTAAATTCAGGGTTATTACATTTGTCGATATCAAATTAAATATGAGACGGACTAGGCCAAACCAAACAAAAAAAAAATCTTGATCCGACGTAGCTCACATTCCCCAAAAAAGATTTTTTTTCTTCAATTTTTTTTAATTCAAAGTTATTATACTTATCAATCTATATATTTATTTTTATTATAATAATTAATACACACATGAATACATGATCAAGCTCAAATGAAAACTCGTTTTCAGAGAAAATTGAGAATCATTCTTATTCATCGACTTGGGAAGGTCAACAATTCTGAAGCAAGAAAAAAAAATATTGTAACATTTCAATAATACATACTATAAAAAGTGTATTATTTAATATTTATACTGCAATCTTATTTATACAAATCAAAATTCACACGCTCTCACACTCAACTCGACATAATAGTAAATAGATAAATCTCCATAATCACCACCACCATTGTATTACACCCGGTGGAAAGCAGCAGCAATTAAATTCTACTAAGCATCCACCTCCTTTATAGCGCCGTTTTTTGCAAAAATTAGTGCAAGTTTTAGCGGTCACGCAAAGCTTGGAATTATTATAACAGTTATTTGATTCTCCAAACATCATTGGACCCATCTCTGCCCATGTTTAAACCAAAAAATTAAAAAAAAAAAAGAAAAAAAAAAAAAAAACGAACAGCCATACATCCTCAAACAGTTATGATGTTAACTTCATATAAGACATATTTTTATATTTTGCAAATATATAGTATATTTAATATATATATTTACAAGTATATAATATATTTTGTATTTTAACAAATTCAAATTATAAATAAATCCAAGACCTTGCGGTCAAGCGGCATGACTATGAAACTTTTATTAAGTTGAGAAAAATATATATGGACAAATATTATATTATAACAGAATCTGAATTACAAAAAAAAAAAAAATTATAAATGAAAATTTATTCAAAAAGAATTACCCGTAGAAGTAAGGAGGACCAACAAAAGGAACATAGTAACAAATAGTTTAAAGGATCGAGCCATTAATGTAATCTTCGATTTGAGACTTATTTTTGTTTTGTACAAATGTATGCAAATGTACTACAAATATTTCTTGTATATATATAACTCTGTACGTATATAGTGTATGTTTGATGATTTTAATATAAATACGTGTAATTACTTGTCCTATTTTCAAACATGAAACACCACAAACATGACACCATGCATGTAACAAACATTTTAATGATGCTTACACGGAACAAATCATTATTAGATGTAAATTAGTTTTTTTTTTTTTTTTTTTTTTTTTTTTTTTGGTTAAAGAAAATAAAGACCCATTTTGACGAAAAATATATTCTTAAATTTTAATAATTATCTCAAGCTTTGAGTGTATTGTGCAAAACTATCAAATTTATTATTTGATATTTATAGTGAAATCGTACCCACATAAGGCGTAATTCACTCGCTCCCACACAAGACCCGACAAAGTAATGAATAATTAAATTACTGTGACTCAGCAACTCATTGTCCTTATTTGGCAATTCGCAGTTAACGAATTGTGTTAGTGGTTAGTGTATAACAAATTTGACTAGCGAATTATATAATTGATTTGTGCGACACCTCATTATTTCCCCACTTTTTCATGTCAATTGTCGACTGAAAAAATGGGAAGCATCAACGCTCCATAAGAGCATCCATGTCAATGGAAAATTTTACACAATTTTTTTGGTGCCATGTATGAGAGATAAAAATAGAAGAGAAAAAGAAAAGCAAAAAAAAAGGGACAATTTAAAAAAAAAAACAAACCAACAGTTGTTTTGTCAAAGTGACCGCTAGCTAGTTGGCTCCTGGCGGCCACTCTGACGCGCCCCAGTGGAGCGTGGGGAGGGGGCGCGAAGTACGCTCCACTTACATAGTTTGAGCCTTTTTTTTTTTTTTTTTGACAAACATAGTTTTTGCAGGAGAAAGAATTGACAAAATTAAATTCCATGGTCTACATCATTATAAATACCAAACTGTGTTTTAAGATCTGAAAAAATTATAAAAAATTACATATGTAGTTGCTCTAATTTGCCTGTCATTTTATATGGTCAAAATGGCTCATGTTATATATCACAACATACATTTTATTGTGTTTAAAAGTATGTGTACATTTAACAAACTGAATGCACATCATTATTATTTGAACTGGTTTAGGCTAATTTGATTAAAGTATGAGTCTGAATGTCTGATCAAGCTAGGCGAAACAATAAAACTCTTGACCGAGTCTACCCCATAGCCTAAAAGGTTAAAATATATTATAAATTCTTTGTTCAAGTTTGTTAGCTTAGACTTATTAAATTTATTAATGACTAATTAAAATATGATTTGGGTTGGGCCGGACTAAACAATAATTTTTTTTGGCAAAACCTATAACCCAAGGATAGTTATACTGTGCATCCGTATGCACCATGCATGGTGCATACGGATGCATAAACGACGTCGTTTTATTAAAAATGCGCATCGCACTTAAAAGAAAAATCAGTTTTGGTTCCCCTCAACAACATTATGTTGTTCATTCAATCTGGAATTTTAGTTCATAGATTCTGAAATTTTAGTTCATTGATTCTGGAATTTTAGTTCATCGATTCTGGAATTTTAGTTCATAGATTCCGGAATTTTAGTTCATTCATTCTGGAATTTTTAGTTCATAGATCAAATTCTGAAATTTTAGTTCATTCATTCTGAAATTTTAGTTCATAGATTCTGGAATTTTAATTCATATGTTGTTGCTGAGAATCGAAACTGATTTTTTTTTTTAAAGTGAGATGCGTGTTTTTAATAAAATGACGTCGTTTTTGCATCCGTATACACCATGCATGGTGCATACGGATGCACAACATAATTTGCCATAACCCAACAATAAAAGTCAAACACATTCCCTCCAAAAAGAATTTTTTTCTTCAATTTCTTTAATTCAAAAATTATATTTATCAATATATATATATATATATATATATATATATATATATATATATATATATATATATATATATATTATAATAACACACACATGAGTGTACTGTGCAACACTATCAAATGTATTATTTGATATTTGTAGTGCAATCTTACCCGCATAAGATTGAGAGCCATTCTTATTCATCGATTTTAGAAGATTAACATTTTTGAAGCAAGAAAAAAACGTTGTGATATTTTAATTAATAATTATCTTAAGCTTTGAGTGTACTGTGCAACACTATCAAATGTATTATTTGATATTTGTAGTGCAATCTTACCCGCATAAGGCGAAATTCACTCCCTTCCACAACAAACCCGACAAGATAGTGAATATGTAAATCACGGTGACTTAGCAACTCATTGACCTTATTTGACAATCCGCAATTAGCGGATTGTGTTAGTGGTTAGTGGATAGTGAATTGTGTTAGCGAATTATATAAGTGATTTGTGCGACTCACCTTTATTTCTCTACTTTTATTTTTCATGTCAATTGTCGATTTGTCGGTGAAAAAAGTTTGATTGGAGCTTTTAGGCTCCTACAAAAGGGGCATCAAGGTTCCATAAGAGCATCCATATCAATGTAAAATTTTACACATTTTTTTGGGTGCCATGTAGGGAGATAAAAATAGAAGAGAAAAAGAAAGGTAATAAAAAAACTTCGACATTTTTTTTTTAAAAAGAAACCAACAGTTGTTTTGTTAAAGTGGCCGCCAGCTGGCAGCCACTATGACGTGCCCCAGTGGGGCGAGAAGTGCGCTCCACTTGTGTTGTTCGAGCTTGCTTTTTTTCTTCTCCGTGCAAAAACATGACAAATAATTGACAAAAAACCATGATCTACGTCATTATAAAAATCAAGCTCTGTTTTTAAGATATGAAAAAACTACCAAAAAATTATATGTGTAGTTGCTCTAATCTGCCTGCCCATGGATTGATGGGCAGACATTAATTGGGAGCTAGACTCCTTTTTAAAGGGTCAAAATGGCTCATGGTGTTTAGTGCAAGTTTTTTTTTTTTTTTTTTTTTTTTTTTTTTTAAATAATAATAATTATATGAGAATTTTGGAGAAAATGAGTCTGTTATCAAAATGTCAAACTAAAATGCTGCAATATGTCACATTTCAGTTTTTCTTGGTGTTTTGACCAAGGTCAAAACATTAAAATGACAGATTCGTTATTTACCAAACAAGTCCTTAGGTGGGAGGACCAATGTTTAATGTTCACAAAAACCCGTAACATTAGGTGTAATTCACATATTGTAGTTATTCAGATTCGATTCAGTGTCCTTACTCACAATTTACCACTAAGAATCAATTAAATGCACTTCATATATAATCGAATACACTTGTATATGTCACAACATACATTATTTGGTAGTGTTCAATCAAAAGTGTACATTTAACAAACTCAATGCTGCACTTCACGTATATTATGTTGTATTCAATCACGATACTCTTACGTAAAATACATAAAGCTATAATATAATGCTAAAAAGAAAGAAATATTTTGTAATAAAACAACAAATACTAATCCCCTCAGAGTTTTATTTCCAATCACTTTAGAGGAGCCATTTGAAGCTTGATTGTAAAACCCAAAACTCCCCACAATCACCGTACCACAATTATTGTATTACTCCTCCGGTGAATCCGGTGGCTTCGGTGGATAGCAGCAACAATTTAATTCGTAGCATTCACCTCCATCATAGCGCATAAAACGTTTATTACGGCAATATTTAGTGCAATTACTAGCGTTCATGCAAATCTTGGTAGTTGGATCACATTGTCGTGATGATTCTCCAAGCATCATTGGACCCATCTCTGGCCATGTTTAAACCCAAAAACAAAAAACAAAAAAACATGAATGAACAACCATACATCCTCAAATAGTTATGATGTTAACATCATGTACGACATATTTTTATATTTTGCAAATATATAATATATTTTGCATTTTAACACATTCAAGACCTTGCCGTCGCCAACCACCTTGTGCATAGAAGGCATCTGGGTTGGAATCTCATACGGGAGGTTCACTACTGGAAATTATGGAATTTTCGACCGCCTGAAAGTGATCTTAAATCAAGTTGATACCAAAAAGTGATCGGAAATAGCAACAAAAGGTTTTTCCGGATACCAAAAGTGGTCGGAACAAGGCTTTCGATTTGATTTAAGTTTCAGGTGGTCGGAAATTTCATAATTTCCAGTAGTGGTTGTGATTTCGAGCCCCAGTGGAGGTGTTATTGACTTTTTGTGTTTCAGTAGGTTGAGAAAGTAGCTAGTAGCTATGAACAGATACTACATTGTAATAGAGTCAGTGAAACTTTTATTAGGTTGAAAAAATATGTATGGACATATACTATATTATAACAGAATCAGTAGTACTAGAAAAGAAATTATAAATGAATATTTATTCAGAAGGAATTACCAGGAGAAGTAAGGAGGACCAACAAAAGGGACATAGTGACAAACAGTTTAAAGGATCGAGCCATTAATGTAATTTTCTATTTGAGACTTATTTTTGTGTACAAATGTACAAGAAAGATCTCTTGTATATATATTACTCTTTACGTATATAGTGTATGTTTGATGATTTTAATATAAATACGTATAATTACTTGTCCTATTTTCAAACATGAAACACCACAAGCATGACACCATGCATGTAACAAACATTTTAATGATGCTTACACGGAACAAATCATTATTAGATGTAAATTAGTTTTTTTTTTTTGGTTAAAGAAAAAAGACCCATTCTGACGAAAATTATATTCTTAGATTTTTGTTCCAAAAGTATTTTTCAAATTTATGTCTTACACATAGTTCTTTCTTTTTCTCTCTCTCTCTTCTTCTAAGTGGTGTCTGAAATTGAACCGTGAGTCTTGAATGCAAGTTCTATTTATTTTTTTATCAATAATTAACTTATCTTTAATTTATATTGTTGATCAAATGGTGAAATAATAAATTAAAGAACAAGTATATGAAATAGAATCAGGAACACAGTCATTGTTCACGCAGTAGGCCAAGTCAAACAATAAAAATCTTGATTTGACCTGGCCTACATTCCCTCCAAAAAGAATTTTTTTCTTCAATTTCTGTAATTCAAAATTATATTTATCAATTTATATATTTATTTTTATTATAATAGCACACACATGAGCATACTCAAGTGACAACCCGTCCTCAAGAGAAAATTGAGAATCATTCTTATTCATTGGTTACAATTCTGAAGCAAGAAAAAAATGTTGTGACATTTTAATAATTATCTCAAGCTTGGAGTGTATTGTGCAACACTATAAAATATATTATTTGATATTTATAGTGCAATCTTACCCACATAAGGCAAAATTCAGTCGCTCCCAAATCAGACCCGACATGATAGTAAATAAGTAAATCACAGTGACTTAGCAACTCATTGACCTTATTTGGCAATCAGCGATTAGCGAATTGTGTTAGTGGTTAGTGGCTAGCAAATTATATAAGTGATTTCTGCGGCTCCCCTTCATTTCTACACTTTTTCACGTCAATTGTCAATTTGTCAGTAAAAAAAGTGGGGTTGGAGCCTTTAGGCTCGTGCAAAAGTGGCATCAAGGCTCCATAAGAGCATCCATATAAGAGCATCTACATCAGAGGAGAAATAGGGGAGAATTCACTACTTTTGAGGCCAAAATGCCATGGTGGCAGAGAGAGAATCAAGAGAGAGAAGGGGTGGGGAGCATCTGCAAATGTTGGGATATTACTCTGCCCAAGAAAAATAATTAATGATGAAGGATAAAGAACCAATAGAGAAATGACATGCTTATTTTTTATATATATTTTTTTTATAAAATCAGTTTTGATTTTTTTTCCCTCCCCTCCCACATTATTCTCTTTCCTACTCACTCTTATATTCTCCCCCTAATAACCCCAACTGATAAGGATGCTCTAAGTGAAAAAATTTACAAAATTTGTTAGGTGCCACGTAGGAGAGATAAAAATATAAAAAAAAAAAAGCAAAAAAAAAAAAAAATCTCACAATTTTTTTTAAAAGAAATCAACGGTGGTTTTGTCATAGTCACTCTGACGCGCCCGCTAGGGGCACGAAGTGCGCTCCACTTAGCTTGTTCGATTCGAGCTTGATTTTTTTCTTCTCCCTAAAAAAATATAATTTTTGCAGAAGAAAGAATTGAAAAAACAACCATGACCTACATCAATATAAAAATCAAGATATGTTTTCAAGATTTGAAAAAACTGCCAAAAAACCACATGTGTGGTTGCTTTAATCTGCTCCCCATGGATATATTGATGTGCAGGCATTAATTGGGAGCCAGACTCATTTTTAAGAGGTCAAAATGACTCATGGTATATATTTAGTGTAAGTTTTAAGGTTTTTTTTTTTTTTCTTTTTTTAAAAAATAATTATATGGGAATTTTTGAGAAAGATGAATCTTTTTTCAAAATGTCAAACTAAAATGCTTCAATATGTCACATTTTAATTTTTCTTGTTGTTTTGACCACGGTCAAAACATCAAAATAGTGGATACATCATTTGTGGGAGGATTAGTATTTAATGTCCACAAGAACCCGTAATATTGAGTGTACCTCACACATTGTGACTACCCATGTTCGATTTAGTGTCATTATCCACAATTTACCACCAGGAACCAATTGAATGCACTTAACATATTATCGAGTGCACTTGTATATGTCACAACATACATTCAGTAGTGTTCAAAAGTGTACATTTAACAAACTCAATGCATTTCAGGTATATGTTGTACTCAATCACGGTACTCTAACATAAAATACGTAACGCTATAATAATATAATAATGCTAAAAAAGTGAAAAAATTTGTAAAACCCAAAACTTGCCACAATCACCACCACCATTGGTATTACGGCCACTTGCGTGGCTCCGGTGGAAAGCAGCAGCAATTAAATTCTATGCATTTACCTCCTGTATAGAAGCGAGAACGTTTTCTGCACATTTTATTGCAATATTTAGGGGCGATGCAAACCTTGGTAGTCTCATCACAATTACGTGATTCTCCAAGCATCATTGGACCCATCTCTGCCCATGTTTAAGCCAAAAAGAAAAAAAAAAAAAGAATGAACAACCATACATCCTCAGACAGTTATGATGTTAACTTCATGTAGGACGTATTTTTATTGCTATGTTCCGGACCTATAAAATGATAAGATCAGGCATTCAGGCTTGTCCTTAAAGAAATTTGCATGTATGAGAATATGTGCATGTCTAATCTAACAAACTATAACGCACTAGTAATGAAAATTTTTGTAAAAGAAATTACCAGTAGAACAAAAGAGCAAAAACAGGATGCCGATTGTTGCTATAGACTTTAATGAAATTGCAATTGCCATCAATAATTTTGAGATTCCTACTTTGTTTTTATTATTTTATGTTACTATTCATTATTATTGTTGTTGTTGTTATTATTATTTTTTATTTTTATTTTAACAGGAGTATATGTAAACGGACATGCTCTATATATAGGGCGTTGGTAATGAATATGTTTTGTTATTTATCCTACTTTTTAGGTGAGTCAGAAAACATGTTAGTGATAAAACCTAGTATTTAGGATTAAGGTATTGCTATTTCATTGTGTTAACACTAGCTAGCTATTGTTCAAATTATGTCTCAGCAATATAATATTTGTGATGTAAATTAATACAATCATGAGCTTTTAAGATATTGATTATAATCAGGTCTAAACTTATTGAGATGGTTCAGGATTATATAAAAATATTAATACTCAAATAATTAATAAAATGGCCATAAAAAAGTTAACATCAACAAAAAAAGTTAACATCAATAATTAATAAAATGGCCATACTCAAGACACTATAATTTATTCACACACACACACACATATATATATATGACTATGACACCATTCGATCCGAGATTACCTAAGTTTCAAAGAAAATAATTTCCTTAATGTTCCTTAATGTTATCATGATTAACAAGAGTCAAGGTCAAACACTTTCACATATTCATAATGTGTAATATTTAGTAGTTTTTAAAACAAATTTTATTGTTATTCATATTTTTTTTCTGTAGTTCAAATACATTCTAAGTAATTGGCGTCTAATAAGTCAATTAATTTTAAATATTATCCTGCAAGACAATACTAGTATGTATATATATATATATATATATATATATATATATATATATATATATATATATATATATATAATGAGGCCGAGCCAGCCAGGTTAACTCGGCTAACTCGACCGAAATGGACGAGTTAACTCAGCCGAATTCGGCGCTAGGCGACCAAGTCGACCGAGTTAGGCGTGCGGTCAGTAATCTAGGCGGGCGCCTAAGAGAGAAATCGCCACGGTCTAAGGACGCCTAAACTATTTTTTACAACAGGAACATTATACCTACAACAGTCTTATTAAAATGAGACATACATATTATTGAATTTCATTTTATACAAAATCCCGATATTCCTCAAGAAGATCACCAAAAGTCCCCTCCGTCAAGCTGTGAATTCATCACCTCCACAAAATTCAGGGATATCAGAATCACAATTGCAGAAGTCTCCCTCAAATTCAGTTAAAGTGGAAAGCCCTAGTGAAACTGGTAAAGTTTGAACTGTACCTCAACTTTCTATTATCATGTATTGCAACACCAATAAATTATAATTCTAATTCAATTATGAATTTATTGGATAATGTACACTCAAATATGTAAAACTGTTACTCAGTTTCATTTTATATACTAATTTTAATTTTTTTTAATGTCAAATTAAATATGAGACAGACTAGGCCACACCAAACAATAAAAATTTGATCCGACGTAGCTCACTTTCCCTAAAAAAGAATTTTTTTCTTCAATTTCTTTAATTCAAAATTATTATATTTATCAATTTATATATTTATTTTTATTATAATAACACACACATGAGCATACTCAAGTGACAATTCGTCCTTAAGAGAAAATTGAAAACCATTCTTATTCATCGAGTTGGGAAGATTAACAATTCTGAAGCAAGAAAAAAATGTTGTGACATTTTAATAATTATCTCATGTTTTGAGTGAACTCTGCAACACTATCAAGTGTATTATTTGATATTTATAGTGCAATCTTACCCATATTATTTGGCCTTGTTTAACAATCAACAATTAGCGAATAGTGAATTGTGTTAGCAAATTTGACCACCGAATTATATAAGTGGTTTGTGCAATTTCCTTTTGTTTTTCCACTTTATATTCTTTTCATGTCAATTGTCAATTTATCAATAGCTTGGAGTCTTTAAGCTCCTACAAAAGGGGCATCAAGGCTCCATAATCTACTGCCCATCAAGAGATGGACAAGCATTAATAGGGAGCCAGACTCCTTTGTAATTATTAAGGGGCCAAAATGGCTCATGGTATTTGGTGCAAGTTTCAAGGTTTTTTATTTTTTATTTTAAATAATTATATGGAAATTTTAGAGAAAGATTAATCTTTTTTAAAAATGTTAAACTAAAATGCTGTAATATGCAGCGTTTCAAATTTTATTATTATTATCATTTACCAAACAAACCCTTAGGTTGGAAGACCAGTATTTAACGTCCACAAGAGCCCGTTATATTTGATACGTTGCGGCTACTCAGATTCAATTCAGTGTCCTTACTCAAAATTTATCCCAGGAACCCACCAAATACACTTCACATATTATCGAGTGCACTTGTATATGTCACAACATACGTGTATATTTAACAAATTGAATGCACTTCACATATATGTTGTACTCAATCACGACACTTTTACCTAAACTACATAAAGCTAAAATATAATGCTAAAAAAGGAGAAAAAATACTAATCCCCTAGTTCTATTTTCAATCACTTCAGACTCTTGTAACCCTTCTGTGGATAGCAGCAGCAATTAAATCCAAAGCATCTACCTCTTTCATAACCGGCCCCCTTTCTAAGGCAATATTTAGTGCAAGATTTAGCGGTCAAGCAAAGCTTGCTAAAATCATCACAGTTATGTGATTCTCCAAGCATCATTGGACCAATCTCTGCCCATGTTTAAACCAAAAAGAAACAACAACAAAAAAAAAAAACATCCTCAAACAGTTATGATGTTAACTTCGTGTACGACATATTTTTATTGAGTTATTACCAAAATGGTCCTTTAACTATAACAAAATTACTATTTGCGTGTTTGATCTAACAAACTATATAGAAATTACCTGTAGAAAAAAAGATCGCAAACAGGAGGCAGATTGTTGCTGTAGTCTTTAATGAACTTGCCATTGCCATCAATAGTTTTGAGATTCCAACTTTATTGTTATTATTTATGTTACTATAATAATAATAATTACAACAGTAATTATTATTATTATTATTTTATTTTATTTTAACAGGAGTATATGTAAACGAATTGAACATGCTCTATATATAGGGGTTAGTTGGTAATGAATATGTTTTGTTATTTATCCTACTTTTTAGGTGAGTCAGATAACATGTTAGTGATAAAACCTAGTATTTAGGATTCAGGTATTCCTATTGTTCAAATTATGCCTCAGCAATATTTGTGATGTAAATTAATGCAATCATGATCGAGTTTTTAAAATACTAATGATTATAATCTGGATCTAAACTTATTGAAATGGTTCAGGATTATATAATACTTAATAATTAGTAAAATGGCCATATAAAGTTAAGATCAATAAAAACAATGTTTTTGGGTATGTTTTCAAAAAAAAAAAAAAATGTTTTTGGGTATATATATCCTGAGTGCTAACAAATATAAAATACAGTCGAAATAATTTTACCTGAAACGAATATATCCAAATTATTATTTGGTTTGGATATAAGATTTTTGAAATGTCAAGGTCAATAGTAATCTCTCTCTCTCTTATATATATATATATATATATATATATATATATATATATATATATATAGGAAAAAGTTCTCGTGCGGCAGACACTTCCCGTGCGGCGGTGCGGCGGGGTTACAGAATACACCAACAGTGTTATCAACATGCACCAACAGTGTAAGGGAAACGCACCACAATGAAATGCAAAAAAAATCACAGAATACACAACAGACCCAAAAAATACACCATATAACTCATCACACCCCAATAGTGTATTTCCAAACACTGTATGGTGTTTTTTCTCACGCCTAATGGTGTATTTTTGGTGATGCGTACCTAATTTGTGTGTATTTTTATGGTGTATTTTCCTAACGTTAATGGTGTATATTTGTTGAACTATTGGTGACGCCGCACCGCCGCACCTAAGGACATCGCCGCACCTGAACTCGCCTCTATATATATATATATATTAGGGACCAGACTGTAATTTTTACACGTCGTGTTTTGGTCTCCAAAAGACGAAAATAGTCACTGTCATTGCTAATTAAGGACCAAATTTATAAATAAAGAATAAATGTACACTCGACATATAACTTAAGAACTAAAAGTGTAATTTTTCCTTTTATTTTTAATTATTTTTTCACATGTCATAATTACCAGCAGCAGCATGGTGAATTTTTGAATAAATTAGAGCCACAATTGCCATTTTTATAGCCATGGCGCCAGCACCTTTTATTGCAATGGTTAGTGACACATAACCACTTCGATCCAACGCAGTCCTTGGCTTCTCCAAGCATTATTGGACCCATCTCTGCTTATATTTAAATCAGAAAATAATAATAATTGGGAAGAAATATAATAATAATAATAATAATAATAATAATAATAATAATAATAATAATAATAATAATAATAATAATAATAATAATAATAATAATAATAATAATAATAATACAATTGAATCAATAATTTAAAGGTTTGATTTATAACAGTTGAAAGACAAAAAGTAAATATAAAGCTTGATCAATAATTTAAGGACTAAAAAATTATAGTAATTTAAAGACACATTTATAAATCGGGAACAATGATGGACTAAAAGTATAATTTTTTCGGTATATATATATATATATATATATATATATATATATATATTGATGGTAAATGGTATTTTCAGGTGTCGAATTAACACTGTAAAAAATTTCCTATAAAATATATAATACCCAATGTCGTTGTACAGAAATAGTAACTAGGTAATTCAAATAATAAGCAAATGATATACGGTGCACACACAATGTTGTAGAAGGCGTTAGGTGCTAGTCAAGTGCCTGTGTCTAAGCGGGCGAGTAATAATAATATGAAAAATACAATAGTGTACACATTAAGCGCACACATACACAAAAACAAAACAAAAAAAAAAAAAAAAAAAAAAAAAAAAAAACATTGCGCTGAGTTGGGCGCCAAGTTGGCTGACTCAGGCGTCTAGGCTGCCTAGTCAGGAGTCGAGTGTAGTCTACTCTGGCGCTGAGTTGTCCGATTCGAGAGCATAGATGGCCTAGGCGACTGCTTAGTCTGACTTTTACAACAGTAAGCACACATATTTTGAAATTAAAATGTATTTCAGCATAATGCCAAGCTCGATTCGGATGAGATTCGAACCTAAAAGTCTCTTTATAAAAGATAACAATGACACCATTATAATATTAATAAAATTTTTTGTAAAAAGAATTAAATTACCAGAAAAAGAAAGGAGGGCGAGAAAAAGGAAGGTTATTGTAATTGACTTCAAAGAACTTGTCATTATATTGCTCTCAATTCTGGGCTTTTTTATTTTATTTTTATTTTTTTTTTATTTCTACATGTATACATATAAGTGAACATGAAAGAACATAACTCAAGCATATATATAACTCTATATATAAGGTATAGGTTTGTTGGTTTGGTTACGAATACGTTTGAATTTGAAAAACATTAAACATGTTTATGATTCTTTCACGGAAAAAAAATCATAATTAGAACTAAATTAGTTTGGTTAAGCTATTCCGCTTCAATATGTTTCCCAAATATATAATTCAATAAGTTATGTTTATGTATACGAATGCGCACTTTTCAACAATCCAAATGCATTTTTAAACATGTACAAGTAGTGTACTTCACAAGTACATTTTGAAAAATTACAAATGCATTTGACAATATGTAAAATGCACACAAGAGATTGTATTTAAAGATATAAAAAATGCATTTGATAGTCATCGCATTTTTTTAAAAGCTTTAGAGAGTGATATGATTGGTTCTCAATCTTTCTTGGACACAAGTTTCTCAATATATATATACTCAGAATCAAATAAGTCCATCTCTTCTCATGAGTCCGTGTAGATAAATCTGGACCATTGAAATCTTGAGATCAATGGTATATAAAAAATGATTTTTTAATTAAATATTTTTGACCGTAGATTTGGAGAGACTAATTAAGTTAGGTGTATTTTAGGGATTTCAATAGTAAATGTCGTCTGGATTGTCAGGGCTTAATTTAGGAATTGGTTCCTTAGATAGGATTTTGCCTTCTAGGTTGCACAATTACATCTACTGTAACATACGCATTTCACACACTACCCCTCGCCCATTGACGTTCTCCGCCGTTGCAATGTCTGACGACCCTAAGGTTCAGAGACTTCGTCGGAATTCTGGAGCAGGGGTAGTGGTGTTTACAATTAATTGAATTCCGTTTATTCACCTATAATATGGGTTTGTACTATTCATAATTATGAGTATTTTAAAAAATTAGATAATAAGCATCTATTGTCTTAAGAGATCTAGGGATCAAAACTTGTTGAATACATTTTAATTGCAATTTTTATTTGTGAGTTATTTTTTCATTTTTAGTTTTATATTATTAGTTGTAAGATTTATAATGCGTAAATCATAATGTGCAATAACAATTATTTGAATTGATTAATTATTTGATAGGGATTACAAAATATGTTTTGTAGTTCAATTATGAAAAAATATTGTAAAAGAAGATTTACATTTCATGAACTGTTTAGTCAATATAATCTAGAAATATCAATTGCACATCATCCTATTCAAATTAATAATCTAGGAACACATAAAATCGATTCAATTAAAATAAAAAAATATTTCTAAATATTATATTAATACAGATGATATACAATTTATTTCAACCCTTTGATAAAAAGTTTTAAAATTTTTGAAGTTTTTTACCCCATTTAATATAATTTATTAACGGCATCTTGGATCCGCTTGGAGATGTTATTAGTGTATGCAGCAGCATTTCTGTCTCATGTTACATAAACCGTCGAAAAAGCATCTCTTCTTGCACCACTTAGCGCATTTTAAAGGGTTAATGCATTGTCCATAGCCGTAAACACACGTGGCGTCGTAGGCTTCTCCAAGCATGATTGGACGCATCTCTACTCATATTTAAAACAAGACATTAATAATAATAATAATAATAATAATAATAATAATAATAATGTTGTAGTCGAGTGACATGAAGTGGCTTTCTCAAATAGGAAGTCAAGAGTCCGAGCCTCATCAGTTGGGACAGTATTAACTCTTTGTACTTCAATAGGTTGAGAAAGTATATATATGAACTGGGATGACAGAAACTCATCTAATAAGTGTGGCCAAAATGTGACAATTTTTTTTTTTTTTTTTTTTTTTATTGTGGACTAAATGTGTCCTCCCCTAACAACTCTAGGAACAAAAAAAAAAAAAATTAACTCAAAATAATAAATGTGTAGTACAATTGTAAAGATTTTTCAGTTTAGTCGAACTATATATACACACACACACTTCTGTACACAAGGAGCACATCCCAAATCCAAACTCTTAGGGTCCGTTTACTAACGGGAAATTTTCTCCAATTTTCTGCAAAACTGGAAAACTAGATAATAGAAAACAGAAAACATGTTTACTAACACAGTTTTTTTTTTGAAAACTAAATTGTTTTTTTAAATGGAAAACAGAATCACCTGTCATCTATTTGGTTATATATCACTATAACCACATTACTAAGATTGTATTCATTATCATCTTATTTCACTTATCACCCTCCTCTATCTTTTCTACTTTACTTATATAAACATAACTTATTTGCTTACATTTTAAAGTTAGACATTATTCACATTATCAAAATTAAGAATTAAACTCTATACAATGTTTTAGATTTTGGTTGAACCCAATAGATTATTAATTGGATATTTTAGTTATATTATATCGTAATACAAGTTCGATCCGGATATCAGATATTGAAATCTCACATATATTAGAATTCAAAGTAAAAATTATATATTTATATACATGCCATTGAAATGAATATATGTAAAAAAATATTTTAAATATAAGATTTAAAAATCACTCGAAATTAAACTTGTATTAATTTTGTAACGTTAATAAAGAAATTTGAAAAAATATGTGTTTGTAAACAAGTTTTCTAAACAGGGAATGAAAACTGAAAATTAGAAAACAGAAAATTGAGAACAATTTTTTGTTAGTGATCCTTGAAAATAAGT